CCCCTAAGGAATATTTAAAATAATTTATTAATCTATAAATTAATTAATAAAGAAATTACCTGAATAATATTTATATTTCTTTACATTATTAACCTTATTGTTAGCTTTGTGAAGTTATGTTTAAATTCTGCTAAAATTCAACATATAATAACAAGATGGTGATGATCAGAATGCCATTGACGACGATGACGATCGACGACCTTACGTTTCTATCGAATGGATGATAGAACCTACACCATAAGGAGGCATTTATGTTGATTAAATACGAATAAATTCAAAAGATTAATAGTTCGACAATGTAAAGCTAACCTTGTCGCTAACCCCCATTAAATGAATTAATAAAGAAATTACCTGATTATTATTTATGTTCCTTTACATTATTACCTTTACCTTATTGTTAGCTTTGTGAAGTTATTTTTAAATTCTGCTAAAATTCAACAAATTTTTCATAAATTAGAAATTAGTAATATTTGAATATATTTCGTAGTTAGTAAAAAGGCCTAACTTTATGTATTCTAGCCAAGATTTTAGTGGTTTAGTTTTTGACTACAACCATGTATAAAATTATGTCTCATTTTAATAAAACAATTTTTGAATTTAAATAACTTGGTGTAACTGTATAATACATTTCATATTTATATATAATTACTATATTGATAAAAATAAACATTATTCAATATACCACAACTGTGTCTTACTCTAGAATTTAGATCTATTTTATCATCGAACTTTGAAATATCAACCGATAGTAAAACGTAGAAAAAATTTACGTTAAACTAAAAGTAATAAATGACGTTAGAAAGTAGTTAACCCTTAACGGGCTCATGGCCATAGGCGCAACTAGACTTACATTTTATGGGGTGATAAAATTATGTATAGGTACCTGGTTAATTATAATTCTTATCTTCAAACCATTAAATATAAATAAAAAAATTGTAAAACAAAGTTATTCTAAAATAAAAAAATTAAACAGAGTATGTACCTACATTATTACAGTTTTATGCGTGCACATCAAGGATTTAGGTTTCAATTTTAGGGACCCTAAAGTCCCCTCAGCACCCCCTTAGTTCCACTTTATGTATAAATAGGCATGCCTAATCAGTTAATAAAAATCGTTTTTCGCGAAAATGTTGCAAATTAAAGTTTATGGTTAAAAAAACCGGTTGTTTCGGGTTTTCCCTATTTTAGGATGAAGGAGTTGACTATTTCTACTTAAGAACTACAAAAGTACAATCTTTATACGATATCGGATCTGTATAGATAGTGTGTCAAGAGTAATTCGGTCCACAGGAAAAAGTTATTTTTTCCACAGATACTTTTTGTCATTGTAAAATCAATAGCTTCTTTCGATCACATCGAGGCCAAAAAATCGCCTATAGTTAAAGAGCATTTTAAAAAAAAAATGTATAAACTATTATTTAAATTACATTTCTACCACGAAGAAAAATGATAAACACCTATCGAGTATAAATTTATATTTAGATTATTTTTATCGATAAATTGTCGTACTCGACCAGCTATGCAAATTCACAAAAATTCACATAGACTAGCATGCCAAATATTATACGCCATGACGATCGATGTATAGTTAAAAATCACATAAGTTTGAACTCTGCGTCAAAATTCAGTACATCGTTTAGTAAGCTGCACTATCAAACTTCGAAATTTGTAAGTATACTTTTGCTTCATCTCTTCGCATAACATGTCCGAACCATTTCAACGTATTCTTTTTCATTTTCCCCACAATTGATGCCACTCCTAGACTCCCCTTGTTTATTTATTTCTTATTCTATCATCCCTCCTCTTGTCTACTGCCTAACATTCCGACTCATATAACATTTCTGGACTCACTACCGTCCTATAAAAATGTACCTTTCAATCTTATAGCCATCCTTCTGTCACACAAAATACTCTCCTCCGCTTTATCCATCAACAATTATTTAGGCCGTCGTTAAGCTCACCGTACATGATACCAGCAATAATATCACTCAAGTTGTATATTATTTCAATGTTTTTTTTTAGATTTTAAAAGTATTCAATTTATGTTGTTATATACACCGTCATACAATGAAGTTCAATGGCTTGCGTATTTTATCTGTGTTGCTAGTTAGTTCTTTGAATGTCGTTTCGGGGCATCAGTGTCTTAATTTAGATCCTATGGAAGATTTCGAAATGGAAATGGTAAGTTCAAATAATGCATTTGATACTTTACAGGATACATAACAACAAAATAAAACAATTGAGTACCATAATATGTTCGTTAACCATAATTATCATTGGTTGAGCTTCTAAAAGCTTAACTGTATTTGTAAATATAGTTACTTTTTTTTAACTTAAGCTTATAATTGTTACCTATATGAAAATCGGTCCCTTTTCTATAGTTTTTAGGAAAATGGTACGTCGTTAAAACGACGTTTCCAGAAAATCGATGTTTAGTGTATGATTTTTACACACAGAAAATCGAAAATATGATAGAATATGCAGAAAAATCCAATTACAGTTTTTATTTTGGAGTATTGAAAGCCAAATCATCAAAATTACCATCAGAAATGACTTATACCGATCTTCTTAATGATTATTCAAGTACGTGCGATTTGATAGTTTGTTTTGACAGATTTCTATAAATATTTTTGTGAATTTGTTCATCGTGTTACAATAGATATACCAATTACCAACAATTCCTTGTTATCTAAAAATTAATGATTCAAGTGTTTTATTCAATTTACTTACCGATCGTCAACCAGTTTATATTATATAGCAGATATCTAATTGGTAATTTTTATAATACACTTTCCAGATGATCATGTGGAGGATCCGTCTTTTATTGTGCTCTACACTGACTATGTATCCTTTGCGCTTGTATACATGTGCATACATATGACGAATGATGGCCAAATGACTGGCTTCATACATTATATAACCATTATGTCCAGATCAGTGACGTTAGACAAAGAAATCATAAACGATGTAAATACAAAATAACAATTGCTTCGTATTATTGCGATATTTATCGTGTTGGAATAATAAAAAAAAATAATTAATTGAATCTGATTTTTTGCTGTTTCAAAAATGCTTTGTTTTTTCTTACAGTTGATCAATTATATATATTGGGGTCATAGTTCACCACATGATCTTAAATTCATAAAAGTTGACCATAAGGACTGTGGCTATGAGAATATTAACGAGAATAGTAATGATCAGAATGTCATTGGCGAAGATGGGAAAGTTTACATAACTATTAAATATTTATAAAATGCCAGAGGATGAACCTGCACCGTAAGGATGCGTTAAAGTTGATTAAATACGAATAAATTCTAAAGGTTTAAAGTATGACAACGTACAACAGCCAACCCATTACAATTATAATGTTTAATGTAATCTATTAAAAATTGTTATCATAAATACTTTTACCAATGTTTATAAATACTATTTAATTCAAAATCAGTGATACCATCTTAACTACAAAAATGTTAAATTCTTAGACCTATTTGTTTAATTGGAGATCTTTAGCTTAGTATAAAATATATACTTGTTTCGCGTTGTTAAATAAAATTAATTTGTACCCAATAATACATAACAGTAAAAAATTATAAAAAATTGGAAATTTATGGTATTTTTTGTTATTGATTTAATTAAATTAACATGCCCGTTAAATTGAAAAGAATAAAATAATTAATTTCTACTCATTCTATGAGTTATAACGAATAGGTAAAAGTTGTAATAATTAACATAAATGTATTTACCTATTTAATAAATATGTGCAAATTAGGATAATAAATTAAAATAACAGTCTTTGTCGAATATCCCCGTTTCTTAAGTGATTTTTTTTTAAATTAAATTTCAGAGTTCAAATCCCATCTGAGCTATTCATTTTTTGACATTTTTAATTGTGTTCTTTAATAAAACACAACACCAAAAAGATCAATTGCTTTCGGATTTGATGTCAATGTCAACAAATATATTTTTATCGGTCTAAAAGTAAAATAAATTTCTATTATAAAATTTCAGATCAAATAATCAATGAAGTTTCCTTATATTCGTGATTTAGGAGTAATTTTCCAATCAGATTTATCTTTAAATGCTCATATAGCGTTAAGTGTTCTAAAGCATTGAGATCCTTTGGCTTTATTATCCGCAGCACTAAAGATTTCACAAATGAAACATGCTCAAGATCCCTCCACTGTTCTCTTGTCAGACCTGTCCTTGAGTATGGGTGTCTAATTTGGAATCCATCTCATGTAGGTCCGACAGAATAACTTGTGAGAATTCAAAGACGCTGTATTCGTTATGTTGGCTTTTATCAGGAAGAAAATTGCTCGAGTTTATTAAGAAATATAAAAAAAAACTAAAAGATCAAAAATTTGCAATAATTTTTTATTTTTGGTGGTCTATTTTTAAGAGCGAAGAAGTGAACTTTTTCAAAGTTTACACCCGCTTTCCTAAAGCGCAAACTAGACCAAATGATGACCAATTAATTTCTAGGTAAATGAAATTTTTCATTTTTAAGATAAAAACCATCAATTTCGATATTCCATTAGTCAATCTGTTCTTTTTGGTTTTCATTCCTAATATCAATACCGTTTTATACAGGCAATATTTAAGAAAAAAGTGGTTTTAATAAAATATTACGACCATGTAAGTTTATTTTAAGGTTAATTTGTATAAGCCTAAAGATATCATTTCTGACTTATACAGTTTTTTATTGTCATTATTAATAGCAAAAGCTATTTTGTTCCAACAAAAAACCGAACTGAAAGCCAGAAAAAATTATGCTTGCACTTATGATACGTCATATTACCAAATAATACTGTCTACTGTCAGTAAGAACAAGTTCAACTTACAACACATTCGGATATTTTTTATTTTAATTGTTGAAGGAATAAATATTATGAAAAGACGATAATAATAAATCAGCATCTTATGGAACTATTTCTAAAATAAAACACTTCACACACAAATTATAAATATTCAGTATATGGTATGGTCTCAATAAGTAATCATTATTAAATTAAAATTTATTTCAAAATTGTTTAAATTATACAATTTTCAAAAGTTAAAAAAAAATTGACCCGTGTCGTTTCTGCAATCATCGGTTCAAGTGAACACCATACGATTTCAAATCAATTTCATTTAAATGAATAATTGAACTAAACCTCAATTTTGTTTTTACCCAGTCGACCATTTGCCATTTTCTTGCTTTTGTGTCGAGTCTCTCACACCAAAGTTCTGCACATTCATTCACACACACGAATAAGTCGTGTTTCTTGACAAAAACGCCTGCATTTTAAAATAATGACAATTTTAAAATAATGTATAAAACACTTAAGTAAATATAATATACAGACTTGAGTTTGCATCATTTGTTCCGTAGTGCAAATTAGGCATTTCTTCCCACTTTAAATTTTCTAAATCAAATTTAAAAACTCGTTGACATCCCTCGAGACCACCAACGAGATAAACGATGTTCTTTATTCTTGTTATACCCATAAGCCAATTAGCTATCGGCATTGGATCCAGTTGTTTCCAGTTTTTTTTTTCAAAATCATAGTAGTCCACGTTTGCAAGAACGTTTGTATTTTTTCCACCAAACTACATTAAGCAATAAAAATTTTCAATTAAATTTGTACAAAACATTATTGCAACTTTAATAATTATTTTTTAATTATTATTGTTATAAAAATTAACAAAATATAGGTAGACAATTTGTTAAGTGGTCAGACATGGTTTTTACGGTGAAACAGTATTTACTTACAACATACAAATGATTATTATAAATTGTGGCACTGCACAAGTTACGAGGAGTGGGCAACGGTTTGATAATTTCTGTCCATACTTTTGAATTTGTATCGTAATATTCTATCACATTCTCAAAATCACAACGCCGTATATTAAGACTTAAACCCCCGATCTACAACATAGAAATAAAAAAAATGTTATTGTTATAAAAGTGTTTTCATTATGTAAATTACAATCAAATTAATACGTACCACATATACATATTGCTCGTGAGTGCAGACAGTGAAAAATCTTCGGGGTCGATTTAGTGGTGCTGTCGGAACCCAATGTTTTGACTTCGATTTCAGATCTAGTTCTTCTACAATATTCATGTATTTACCATCAACACTCAAACCTCCAATTGCAAGTATTATTCCATTTCCACAGAGTACAATCTTTGTGTCTTTATGACGAGGACAAAAAAATAAATGTTTGCTCGGTTTCCATTTTAAATTATCGTTGCTTCTAAAATCCATATACCACACACGGCTTTCATCGTATTTCAAATGGCTACCAATCCCGAAAATAATCTGAACAGAATACATTCATACAAATTTTAATCACATTGTGTTCAAAACTTGTTTAAAAAATTTGTTTGCTTACACTTGTCCCAACTGTAGAATTACTTGCTAATTTATCAAAGTTAATTTTGGTAATTTCTTTTAACAAATGATCCATAGCTGAAAATAATAAATCATTTTTTTAATAATAAAAAAAAAACAGTTGTTAATAGAGATTGATACGAAAATACATAAAACTGCTTATGTTTTTTTTTTAACACAACAGTAATATATAAATGACTGATAGGCTATTGTATTTTCAAATGAAAAGCAACAATGTAGAGTAAATACAGTTCCCGATACAATGGTTGTATACTTACTATCTTTGTTATTTGTCACGTACGGTTCACTACAAATCCGTTGAAGTCCTTCTTTTGAAAGTAAATACAAACGTACACATTTCATTAAATCCAGTAACATGTGATTTCGTTCAATTTTGTTATATCTTATCCAACCAATTATAAAATCAAATATCTAAAATAAATTCTTTTATTACCAATAGTCAATTGTAACAATAATAAAAACCAACATTCGAATAATTCATTATCGTGTTACATTAAAAATACTTTGTTTGACAACCAATTTACACTTAAAATACAATATTATACCTTTTCCTCAGTGTCAACTACTAAATCATCTAGTTTAATAAACTTAAGGACATCATCAATTGAAAATTCAAACAGTTTTTTTAGTGCAAATTTGGATTTCAAAACCTTGCTACAAAAAAAAAGAAGGTTATGTTTTATTATTTTAAAAACTTTTGCGAGTCTCATATGTAAAACCTGATAACTTACGTGAAATTATTTAAAAAATACGACCAACATATACTGTAAATTTCTTTGTTCGATAATAACTCTGAAGTCTTCATAAAACTAATACAATTTTTACTATTTAGGTTATTTTTAACAAACTTGCAACACACTTCTTTTATATAGTTTAGACCATACATATCTGCAGCCATCCACATTTTCTATAAAAAAAAAAAATTGATAAATAATTAACAATAGAGTAATTATAATATATCTCATCAATTGTATACACTATTGCGTATGTAATACCTCGACATTTGTACTTTTAATATAAACATTATCCGTATATGCAAATTTGACTATCGATTCTAAAACTTCAGAGTCCATATCATGTAAAGTAACTTTATTTTCATCACTTTCTTTGAATTGGCTGGTAAACATTGTGTGAAATACACAGCTCACTGAAGCTAATACAACTTTGTGTGCTAAAATTTCTAAGCCTTCATTGCTTATCAAAGTTATGTCGCAAAACATTTTTTCCCTAGAATAATAAATCTACTTTAGTATTTACTTGCATCAGTAATAATAAATAATTATTTAATAAGTTTAAACTGTTAAAACAAAACTTTTATCAAAATATGTTTAAAAAAAAAAAAAATGGATAAATGCTTGTTGATGGATTATATACAAATAAAATATTCAACAAAAATAATAATTTACAATTACTCTTGTTTTACTTAATGAGGTATTAAACTTGTAATCATTATTTATTATTACTATAATATTGATTTTATAATAAAGAGTGCCTCATAAATAACGCCGGATAGCCAGGAACAAAAATCGTAACCATCGTAACTTCTAGAAATGTTGTGCTAGAAAGACTAACTCTTTGTCAGATAATTCTGAGCAAGCAATGACAATTTTTGTACCTGGCTATCCGGCGTTATATTCCGAGACACCCTTTACTAAACAATAAATTGGTGTAATTTGTATAGTTAAGAAAAAAAGTGTGTACACCACGAGGACCGAGGCATTTAGATATATAAATTGGTGATAAATAATAATTTCACAGAGCTTAATTAATAACAAATTCATTTAAGACTTACCGAAAGAATCGATTGATCTGGGCAATAATAATGTGTTGATCCATAATAAGTTATCAGTTCCACTGTTGTTATTTTACTTGTTTTCTCTAAATATTCAAGCTAACAAATAAAATTAATATTCCAAAAAAAAACGTGGTGAAATAAAAGGTTTTTTTTTTAATAATTGAGAAATAAATATATTTGAATTACTAAAACAGGAAATATAAAATATGAATTATTAATATCTAAATTACTACACCAAATGATAAGAACTGAAATATTTAGAACGGGCGCATGTTAACTCTACCAGTAGTGATCTTTTTTTTATAAAATCCACTGTCGAGTTAAAATTATATGGCAAAGAAACCCTCAACTCTTATGGTGTATATTTTTTAATGTATATTAATTGTTAATTTGGTAAGTATCATGTTTGGTTGTGTATTACATAATGACTGAGATAGATGTGAATGGAAACACTAGCATGCATTTATAGTTTTATTTAGAGCGCCACTACATTGGGATCATATCTATGGTGAAATTAATTCTATACATAAGGGTCAATTGCTCGACAAATTACGTGACATATGAACTATCTGGTTTTATTGACATAAATTCTATAACAAATAATATTAGATATATCTAATTCTGAGCCTATTAAAGACTTCAGTTTTTTGTTTTATAATCAGTAAACACCAGTAAAATACAATTTTTGAACTGATCTCCACCAATTTTGGGTAAGATGAAGCCTGCAACCAATTAATCGCAATGCCACTTCTTAAAAACTAGATTTTTAATCACTTTACTTATAAAATTTATGATTATTAAAACATAATAAAATTTTGCCTCATTCACCGACCAATTTGTTTAATGTGCGAGTACAATATTTTATGATAAGGAAAACACGTCATATAACTTAACAGATGAGTTTGCCAATCGATAAGATTATATAGTACATACATTGCTGTAGAATGTAAATTTATACTTATAGGTACAATTTTGTTGACGTTAAAGTTAACTTATTTCTTAGTCAGCCCTAGTTGCTATTACCAGCGATTTGGCTGAATTTATAATTGCCAAATTAAAAATATAACTAAACACATAATCAGACATTCTAAATTATATATTATATTAGTCACTAAATTTTTTTAATTAAATTATTATAGCTAATTAACAAAAAAATTCTCTATTTTCAAATATCAAGTCGGTGAAACCCCAGAGGAATAAAAGCTTGCCTAAAAGACTTAACTCACCTAATCCCGCTCTGGAAGCGTTAGCCACTTAACCGGACCTAACCTATCCTCACAAATGTATGTTGCTGAGAGCCTACCGCCACCTATTATTATACACGAGAAAATATGCAAACTAGAGGAGTCCGACTAATTCTGATTAGTAATTAGCGTAAAAAACACTAAATGACAAAAAAATGAGGAAAAGGTTGTCCGGTAAAGTAAATTTATGCCAAATTACATAAAATATGGGATGCGAAAATCAAAAGAAGTACGATTTGGCTTTGAATATCCCATAAATACATAATAGTATATAATATTATGTCCACACTACCCGTCGAAAATTTGCTATGTAATATTTAATTTGTTATTTAATATAAACAAAGCATATTTCAAATGCTTTGTTCTTTGTGTAGTTTGTTCAAAACGAAAAAATGTATGAATATTTTTTTTTTAACTCCACAGTTAATACTTGGTACTTACAAATTAATAAAACTCCACAACCGGTTACTTGTTTGATTTTTTGAGTTGTGAAAATTCAAAATTAACTGTATAATTTTACCATGGGATACATATATTGCTTCCTCGAGATGTAAACAAAAAATGAGCTGCTATTGATTCCAGCCATGAACATAATATAATATATGCTACTATATTGATTCCAGCGATACCACATGGCACATGCGTGATACTAGCAATACGGTATGGACCGTCGTTGTGGTAGCATGGGAGTGTACTAGACCTAAAAAGAAAATATCGACCAATTGTAGAGAGAGAGTTATAAGAGTCAATATCGTTAAAAAGAGATGGAGCGATTTGGTGAGTATTTCATGGAATAATAAGAATATGATATCCCTATGAAATGTTTCAATTTCAACAAGGTGGATTGATCCACCTTGAATTAAAAAAAAAAAACGTTAAATTTAATTTTTATGTACTTGTTGTAATAACCACTGGCGCAACTGGCGAAGGGAGGGGGGCTCTAGCACCCCCAGACTGAAAATTAAAGAACCCCCAAAAATTCAAACACTAATCCTTGATTTTTACACATAAAATTTGAAAATATGTACATACTCTATTCAAGTTTTTTATTTTAGAATATTTTTGTTTTCAAATATTTTATATCTAATGGTTTGAAGATAAGAATTTTGTTTAATCATGTGTACACGTAATTTTAGCACCACCCTAAAATGTTGGTCTTGCTGCGCCTATGATAGTAATTAGTAACTAGTATTTTAATTGTTTCAAACACGGTAAATCAATGTGTCATCCACTCTTGCAATAAAAAGATTATCATGCATGGTCAAGTTGAGACTTTATCGACTTGTATAATATTATCTTATATACTTTTTAACGTTAATATAATTTGTTTCAAACGCAAGCCAAGAAATTAAAAAATGCTTCCTACCAGATTATTTTGTAAAGAAAAACTATCTTTTAACACATATTTACAAATTATTTATAAAAAAAGTAAAACAGAATGTTCACAAATAAAATTTTAATGAATTTATGAGTATTTTATAATATATTAGTATTTGATACCAATAAAATAAACGTAATTATAAAACAACCATTAAGGCCAACTAATGCGTAAAATATAGGCGAACTGTAAACTTAAAACAATTATAAAAATATATTAACAATTACGTTATGACTTAAAATTATTCAGTACAACAATAAAAATGTATTGGTATCTTTAAATCATTGTTTCTATCATTGAGAATTAACAAGATCAGTAGTGTAATGTAAATGTAAAAACATTTTGAAGGTGACAGCTTTCAGAATTTTTTTTTTTTGCTTAAAAAATATTATTAGTTTTGACATAGTTAGAACGATTTTAATGAAAATTATTAGTAAGTTGAGTAAAATATAATTATTTTTGGCTTCTGGGTTTAGCACTTCACCAAGAACTACCTGGCTAAGTTTTTTGGCCTTTTATATAGCTGGAGAGGTGTTCCTTCTTTTTGTTTTTACATCAGAGCTACTACCCTTCCATTCAACACAAAAATTTTAATGTTTTAAAAATAGATTTTTGGCAACTGTTGACAATGGAGTTGGTCTTAATAGGGACTTAAGTATTTTGAATTAAAACTAAAATTTACATACATTATTATATATCACTTTTTTATTGCTAAAAAAAAAATCAATTTACAACACAATAGTTAATCGTAACCAGAATATATATATTTTTTTTATGATTTTCTCCTCGGTGTTCATATTACTTATTTTATTCTCATTACAAAACATAAAAAAGAAAAGAAAAAAAATTCACCTCAAATGTAAAAAAAAAAAAAAACCATTATGAGTTCTAATACTTTGGAACATCAAACGAATACAAGTGTCTGTATTTTAACAACAGTTGTCTTTTCATCTGTAGAGATTGCCGAAGGTCGTCCATGGCTTTTAGCTGTTGTTCACTATTGTACTGGACACCGGGTAGTTTGCGAATCTAGAATACCAAAATTACTCTTTTTTTGTATTGTAAGAGACATTAGTGATTGTACAACAATATTGAAATATCAAAATATAAGTCATTAAAAACATATACAATTTTTTTATTCATATTATATTATTATAATATGACTTTTGTCAAGTAATACATAATATACACATAATAATTAGTTTATATATTATACGATTAATTGGTTTATTTATACATATTATGGTTTAATGCCAAAAACAAAATCAAGTTATAGGTAGCAAAATTGTTCAGCTTTAACTAAGTTCATTAATCTGATTCTTCGCCCGAGTGGCATTGATGTATTTCGTCCGAATTTGAGGCGTTTAATTTGTCTATAATGACTTTGGCCGGATCAAAAAAGCCTCCGGTCTGTTTTTGACATACAAAACATTTAGTACTTTTCTTGAAATGCGCCAGTGCACATTTTTCACAAAAGTAATGCTTGCATTTAGTCATTACCGGTTCAACATAAGACCCACGACAAATCAAACATTTAAACGGTATGTAATCATCATCGTCGTCTTTAATTTCATATTTTGTTGGATTGTCATCTCCGTCAGAGTCGCCCTGCTGAGTAGTTTCCATTTCCAATTGCCAGCCGAATTTGTAATCCGATCGATCGTGCAAGAATTTACAACTGTCTCCAAAACCACAAAATCCAGTCTCTTTGTAATCTTTACAAATATCCGGTTGATAATCCCAGCGGACAGTCGATCGTAAATTGGCAGGAGCGCGGATCGGCCCTTTACGTACCATTCCGCTGGACGCATTACCAAGAGCCGTGTCTTTCTTTTCGTAATACTGCGTGTAGTTGGCCATTCCTCTGTACACTTTATCGTCTTCTTTACCTTTAAGTTCTTTGTTTACTTGTAACGAACGTTCGTAAATTGCTTGTGCATCCTTGTCGAGTTCCGTATCAATTTCAACAGTAGCCGTTGCCCCCATATCTTTAGGCCCGCTCATTTCCGAGTCCATTTTAGAACGATACGAAACACCAACAGTGTCGTGATCACTTTCAGAAGAATAATTTGTAGCGTCGTTAGTTTTGATTTTTTTACAAGACGTACTTTGAATTAATGGGTTTGGTCTCCTTTGCCGCTTCTCGTTTGAAATTACAGCAGATTCGTCTTCGCTACTTTCGCTTTCAGAAGCAGCCCTCCTACGCTGATTTTGTAAAACCTTACGTTTCTTAAACATTGTCGTTTTTTTTTTTTTTTTACTGCCGATCTGTCTTCTATTGATTTTTTTTTTTTGAACAATTAGCAAACTATAACAACGCCAAAGCTTACCTGATCTCGAGCTTGATCGATTTTCTTTTGAAGATCTTGTATTTTTTGCGTTACCTCTTGGGCCGATTTTTGCGGTTCGTGATTTTCTCTTTCGCCACTGAAAATTTCATTTCAAATCACATCCGATAAGGTATTACGAAAGAGGTACCTATCAATATAATAATTTTAATATATTAATCTGAACGTCATACCTTTTTATAATATCGTGAATTAAAGGCAAAAAGTCCGTATCTACATCGTTGACTGTAACAGCTGTGTTTTCCATGTTTTCACAAAACGTGCATACTTTAAACCGTTAAAGACCGGCAAACCAACGTTTAAGCAAAATTCAAAAACTATGTATCGCAAAAAGCATAAAAATTACAAATTAGTAATTACAGATAGACATGTAGACGCAGCTTGGTATCGCTTTTATAATGTTATTTATTATAATATTGCAAAGAATTCGTGAACAAATAAACAGGTAAGCCAGCAGTAACTTGGGTTGTCCATTTTCAAAAATGGCTACTAACGTTCTCCCGTAAGAATAATACACGGCGGAGGCCATATTGATTTTATCACAAATTTCCGACATACCACATTACATCTTTTTGGGAACGATAAACAAAAATATTGATTACTTCTTTTTAGGTTATGTTTATGGTTTGATAATTAGCTTATCAACTGTTGTGAGTTGTCCAACCACAGATAATAGTTTAAGTGAAAAGTGAAAACTGAAACTTTCCACCGAGACCGTGATTTCCACGATTTAATTAACAATAAGATAATTTATAGACATTTTTTAAAATTGTGATTTAATGTTTGATGTGTGGTATAACTTTGTGCATTGTCGAATCCTCTAATCAAACTATCTGGATATATAAAAACAAAATGTATATTTATCCATAATATGAGATAGGAACATATTATGTTTTATTCGAATACTATTATAAATGATTCAAAATTATTTAAATACGTATTCTAAATAAAATTAATAAACTTCAATCACCTAAAAGACACGGTATAAAGCGTTAAAATAGTCGTTTTAAAAATTGTAGAAGCAAAAAATTTATAAAATTATTTGTAATTATATCCCCAAGTAGTTTAATGAATTTACTTATGAAGTAGACAAATTAACGACACCGGGAAAAAAAACCGACAAAATTTAACGATTTTATCAAATAATAAATTGTAAATAATATTATATTATTTTATATATTATTTTATAATATATAACCACAAGTGTTGCTTATGTTTTTTCTAATTACGTTGTATCGACAGTTTTATTTCTAAAACCGAATAAGACACGTCAAATAAAAATTCGGCATTTCGAACACACTGTAAAGGAATAAATTCAAAAAACAAAGAATAATAAACACAAAAGACTAGAGAGCCAAATTTTAATCAAATATAATAATCTCGTAAATACTAAATCAATTTGTATGGCGTTCGTTTTTTTGAATTTTGTTGTATTTTGTGATAACACGAGATTGATAAGAATCTCTGATAATAGGTTTGAAGTTAGATACGATTTTGAATTTACAGTTATTAAAGTAAACAAATGAAGTCTGGAGCATGGCATTGTGAACGTTTACATTATTTTATGATCTGACCTTATTTGATAACACATATTGTACAGATAATAGCGAAATTCTGGTGGCACGTCTAATAAATTATTTAGTCGTCTGGTCAATGTTTTTCTGACGATTTCTTCAACACTGGATTTGCTAATATGGGAATATTTTCCAGCCGACAAAATACTAGAGTTGAAGAAGTTGACAATAGTTCAAATAATGCGTACAAGTACCCTCCAAAGTCTGGTAAGTTTAAAATTCGGTCGACTATTTATTTAAAAGTTTCACATTCAATAACAAATTGATTTTAAATGAAAACGATTTTTTTTTTAAACGCACTGTAACAATATAGTTTGTAAGCAATTATTATGTGAAAAGGATTATTTAACAAATAATGTTGAAAAGGAACTCGTTGCAAAATGAACGGATTCCTGGAGAGAGTAGCTTTTATAGGAATGATGCTTGGAATTGCTTTGTGTTAAAATAAAGGATCGTGGAAAAATTTGTTTTTGTTTGAGGAATTCAAATGAAAAACAGTTCCTTTAAAAAATAAAATTGTTTTCTTTGTATCTACCTACTTTTTATAAATAAATAATAGTCAACATGATTTTAAATTTTATTACTAAAATTAGCCGTCTAATATTGATTATCCGTCTAAGTGTACTTAATAAAAACGTTACCACAATTTTTGTTTATTTTTCAACTGCTCGATGGTAAAATATAAAAGTCATGGTTGGTGTAACTCTTAAGTGATTATTAACTGATTTACTATTTGAAAAATTAATACTTTTTAAACAAAATAAAATAGATATAAAAAATGTAAATTTTCATTTATATATTTTACTTAACTATTTTCTAATAATAATATTGTTTATTTATAATATTGTATATCTAAATATGTCAAAAAAATTTATAATTTATGAAACTGCAATTTTCTAAACAGCTTTGTTCAATAATAACAAATGAAACAAGTTCTTTATTTAAGAGGACTAGATCTGGAACGAGTTCCTTCTTTGAAAAAATAATGAATTGTTTTGAATTTTTGGAAATAACAACCAGGAACTGAACGTGTTCCTTTTATAAAGCAACTTTCCCAACTGATTCTTTAAATACTGAACCCTTACATTGATAATAATTCTATTAAGATAAGTAGGCAGGCAATAATTTTAATAAAAAAAATTTATTTTTTATTTTTTAATTGTCTGTTACAGGAAATTATTTCAGTACTCACTTCATTATGGGTGGTGAAAAATTCGACACTCCACAACCCGAAGCATATTTATTTGGAGAAAACATGGATTTAAATTTTTTCAGCAAATGTCCCACCACGGTTAGTTAATGAATAATTTTACTCTATTTTAATACCTACAGCTTTGCAAAGAATAAACTTGCATTCATTTTTAAACAAATAATTCCTATGAAATAATTGAAGAATAATTAATTACATACATTTTTTTGTTGCTAAACTTAAGACACAAAAATCTTGGTATAAATGTCTTAATGTAATTAATATATGGTATTTTTTTTTTACCTAGAACCGATGGTCCAAACATGATTGACCGCTCATAATATTTTTTATTTTTTCACCATTATTTAAAACGATAATTTTCACAAATGAATAATTGAAGAGTGAAAGTGTCAAACGTTCCAAGTGCCAAAGTATAAAAATTGAACTTTATAATTTGATTTGTATTTTATTCATTACCGGAAACACTTTAACATATTTTTGAGTTTTAAATATGATTGTTTTTTTTTATTAATAACTATTGTTTTCTTGAAAAATTAAAAAAATTGTTTCCAGTAATGAATAAAATACAAATCAAATTATAAAGTACAATTTTTATACTTTGGCACTTGGAAAGTTTGACACTTTCACTCTTCAATTAATGTTTTGTTATAAGTTTTAAAACAACTTTTTTTTCTATGTTACAATCAATACTATATTATATTACAGTAGATTGGGCCAAAAGTAGCAATTTTTAAAACTAAATCTTATCTTATTTAATATACGTATTTTTTCTGTTTATTACAAAATGCAGTTTCCGTATCCGCCGCCTGAACCCGGAGAGCCGACGAAACCTTTAAAAAGTTTAGTGAATATCAGAAAGGAATCATTACGCTTTGTGCGCACCGAAGAAGGGAAAACGGTTTTCAACATTGAATTCATGTTCGATTGTGACGCCCCTTGTTCGATTACTATTTACTATTTCTGCACCGAAGAATTCACCCCGAGTGGGGTCTCGTAAGATTACAGATTTTTTTAAAACATACTAAATCATTTCATACTGATATATTTTGGTAATTTTTCTTTTAGGTTCAGTTGTCGCGATCCGTCAATGACATCTGAAGTATATCATTATAAACGAGGCTCAAACCAGCTATTCAATCAACCCCAACATATGATCGATCCAAGTCTGTATAATACTGAAGATCTCACGTATATCTTTAACAAAGAAATCATACCTATCGCGATACATTGTGTGGCTCACGACACCACCGAAGGTAGTATTTGCGTTATATTGACGCGTTTTCTTGGGAATTTATTTTTCAAACCTTTCTTTTAGAAACTCGACAATCTCACACCACGATTGCGGTAGTCGAACAATATTCAGACGGTTCGTACATTTTGAAAGCATTAAAACAAAAATTATTCGTGGACGGCCTGTGTTATTTATTGCAAGAGATTTATGGTATCGAAAATAAATCGACTGAATTAAAAGTTTGTTTTGTGTTATTCTACTCTTAAAAATAGCATCATAGTTTTTAATTACATAAATTACAATCGAAGGACGCCGGCGACGAAGAACTAGAAGACGGTAGTTCTGAGTGTGTGATTTGTATGAGCGACATGCGAGATACGTTGATTTTGCCCTGTCGCCATTTATGTTTGTGCCAATCGTGCGCCGATTCTTTACGATATCAAGCGAACAATTGTCCAATATGTCGTGCACCATTCCGTGCACTCTTGCAGATCAAAGCGTTGCAAAAAACATTGGACAACAATCAGAGAGTAATAAAAATTTACCAATTTATTTAATCTCTTAGTACTATTTTATGAAAATTTAGTGTAATTAGGAAAATGCAATTATTTGTTTTTAACTAAATTTCTTCATAAATTACACAAAAACAAAAAAGTTGATATCAACATTGATTTAGGTTAATAACAAAAATGTGTTACAAGTTCAGGGTCTGTCTGACCCTGAACAAAGTTTAAATTTAAATTAATAACTATTAGCTTTTTATTTTAGATTGATTTGCGTACACCGTACGGATACGAAACAGTTCCTCTAATCGAAGCTCTAAATGGTCCGAATTTCCGACGGTATAGTAACGCTACTAAAATGACCGGCGATCCATTGTTGGAATCTTCACCGGACAGCCAATGTGCAGGTCTTAATATGTCTAAGTAAGTTATAGTCGCGTTTAAATTCATTTATTTATTTTTAATTTATTAATACTAATTGGGACCCAAGATTGTTAAATATTATTTTATTACATAACCTTATTATTCAATTTATCGAAGCAAAGTAACTATAGATCTGGCGATAAACACAGAGTAAAACACAGAAAGTTGATTACTCTCAACGCTGCGTCCTAAGTTTTACATTAATAAATATAGGAAATAATTATAATTAAAATAATTTAGAATGAGTTTGGATCGTCTGTCTAGAAAGAAGTCTAGCAGTATCGACTCGCACGGTGAATCGCTAAGCCCGAGCGACAATTCCATAAGTTCTAATGTAAGTATTTCAATGTTTAAACTGACAAGTGATGAGTTGTGATTGTAAATGCATTTTTTTTGTTTATACATTTATAAAATCTTATATTTTTACTGAAACGATAAACACCTTGACATTTTAGGCAATAGGCGGAACATCAATCAGTGATAAATCGTCAAAAAGTTCAAGCAAAGAAGAAACCAAACCCAAACTTTCTATAAAATGTAAAGACCAAGTTAAAGTGGTCAACGAAAAAGGAGATCTAGAAGAAGAGGTACAAACATTTCATGTATAATTAGGTTTTTTTTTTTTCTATTTACCGATTATTACATTATTGAATTTAATTTCAGACTCAAGACGAAGACAGCGAGGCTGAAAAAATGTCTCCTCTGTTGGATTGTGGAAAAACTTTAGAACAACATCACGCAGCTGCCCCGACAGAAAGTATGACGTTGTTGTTATGTGTAATTCGTAACTTGTTTTATTAACAATTAGAAATATTTATTTTACAGAAAAAGAAATCAACGTAATACTAAACCATGGTGCAGACGACGCTGACTGCTACGGAGAATGTGCAGCACGAATGTTAGTCGCTCATCAAAAAGAAAAACCTCAATTAACGGTTTCTCAGGTAAATTAAAAATATTTATATGTATTTAAATAAATTGGCTTTTTATGACTTCTACTAAAACTACTACTTGAATTGGTTTTATTTCTTCGAAATACACATAAACATTTCAGAAAGAATAAAAGTTCAAAAATGCATTGTAGCTCCATTTTAAAATATTTTTTTTAAGTAAGTGAATTTATTTTTATTATAGTTGGAATATTAATTAAAATAATGGTTAAAAATGCAATATCTTAAGTAATATTATTATGATTTTTGTGGACTTGGCTCGTTTCGGTTTGCTACAAAATACGACTTCAATCTTTTTTATGTTTCAATTATTAATCCATCCGGATCAAATAATAGGAAAACAATTAATAATATGAATTAAAGTCCAAGTTAAAATTCATATTTGGAAAAATCTCACTTAATTTGTTGTGTTCGAGCACTCAATATATTTTACACCCTTAAATGTGTTAATGTCGTCCACCTAAAATTAGTTTTCGGACCACTACGACAATAGTTATAGAATAAAGGCAGCCTAATGACTTGTATTTAGTAAACATCAAAGTATGCAAAATATATGGTGTCATATATTAATTTTATTTTAAGGCCTCACCTAATTTTACCGAATTCCCATCAATGCGACGTCTCCGCAAGTCCTATAAAAACATTATTTGATAAATTATGTAATATATAAATATCAAATTTGTGTATCATATTTGTATTTTATAAGACGGTATGCTCAGAACAATACATTTGCACTCGTCCTTTACAAATATTAGTATCATAATTATTTTAAATAAAACTAACGCAAACCCAACGAGAGAAGCCACAAATTTCCATTCCTTATGACTTATCCTTTCTATCCCTATTACAATTACTTGTAAAAAGGGGATGGGTCATAAAAAGGAAGAGATTTAGGGATGAGTCATAAGGGGTCCCCCCATTGTGTTTGCGTTAGTTTTGTTTAAAATAAATTCAATATGTAAATATTACAAATGTGTGTACATTTTTTTATATTCATAATATGTCAACGTCTAGGGCCTAGGCTGTAGTTGAGTTTATAAAATATTCATACGTGCATAACAGATATATTTTGAAAATTTCAGGAACGAGTATCGTTACCCGGAACCCCCATGAGTACTGTGAGTCAACGTTCCAGCGGCGAGAGCTATACGTCGGTCGGTTCTTCTCGTTTGTTACTCGCAGCTTATGAAAAAACCACTCCAGTTTGAATACGTTATTTCCTTTTCATCATTGGCTATTACCGCCGAAGTGGTTTCGGGGATTGTATAATCCCGTTTAGAATTAATTAATGAATCTCATAAATGGGGTATTTTGAGTAATTAAATTTCCATTGTTTTCATAGGAAACTTAATCACTCTAATATTAATGGCTATCACTCATTGTCAAAATCTTGTTCGAATAAAACAAGTAATTTATTTTTATAAATACAATGCCGTAGGAGTATTTTAGAAAATAAGAAAAGAAAAATTGTATTCGCCTATTGTAAAAGTTTAGTTTGTATTTATATTGTATATATTATGAAAATTAACATAAATTTAAAGCGTGTACTTAATGATAATTTCCTTTTTTTTTTTTTTAACAATTATTGTAACGCACGTTAATTTATTTTGTCGTTTCTAATAATGTGAAATATGATCTGTGATGATTACTTATAAATTATAATATTATGACATGACGAAAAAAAAAAAAAACTATGTATAGTGTATAAAAATTGCAAAGTAATGCATAGTAAGTAAACTATTAATCTTTAATTATTTATTATTATCATTGTTCATCATTAATAACAATACATATTACATGTTTTTTTTTAAATAATATTATATTTTCATAAGTATCTATTTATTGAATTGTTTATTATATAAATATTATTTGTACTTTTAATATATATATTATGTATCACGCCATGGTTTTATAATAAATAAAAAAAACACTATTTGTTTAAATATTAGCTAAATATACTCTGTGTATTATTTATAACCCTCTTAAAATATTATGTTCACATTCAAATTAATTATTAACCGTTATAAATAACATTTTTGTACCTATTCTTAACGGAATTAACATTATCTTCATTCTTGTATTTAGTGTTGAAATCGATTGTAGTGTAAGACCCAGCAAAATCAACGATTCAGTTTCTTCTAAAACCGTCATTGCCTTTTTTTTCCAGAGGAGGAACAAATTATATTTTTAGTGTCACACATTTTAATGTTTTTATTTATAGAGGGTCTATATTAATTGAATAGAATGGAGTATTCTGAATTTTTCGTCAATAAATTAAGCAATTTCTTATGATTTTAATAATCCATAATAAGTACTTGCTATAAGCCAATAGTTTTATTCATTGAAAACTAAAATAAATTGTTTTAACACCAGTAAGTAATGTAATATTAAAAGTTTCTACATTAGATTTAATTTAAATATTACAATAATTTAATATATGATTAATTTTAATTAAAAACATTTTAAATGTATTAACATTTGAGTAATATGCAGTTATGTTGAAATTTTAAATATAGATATTTTTTTAAATAATTTATTTGGAACAAACGGCTGCAGGTTATTTGTCACTCAGTCTAAACAATATATAAATACATTTATTAGTGTCTCGTTCAAACCTTTCATGGATAATAATGTTTTTTTTTTACAGTTTTATAGATTCCATGTATTTACTTTAAACAATATATGTTATTATTTTATAAGATAAGGTGTAACGCTAAGCTGATTTTTACTCAATGTATATGGTGCAATCTCCTACACAAGCCACCAAGAGATCATAGTGTAATGCACTTAATACTAATAGATAGCTATTGCCTATTAACAATAACAATAAAAAATGTTCAAACACAAAAGATTAGATAAAGTTCATTATACATTTCGTCACGAGTTATGCCTGTTTTGCGTCTCTTAATTAGGCAACAAATTACTAAATATTGTTAATCGTTATTCCAAGTGGGCTACCACATTTTAACATGAAATAGTATTGAATGATTATTGGACGGAGCTTCCGCCTGTTGAGTGTTGACCTACTTACATTAAACGGGTAAATAATAATAATATACTCCATAGGGAAAGCTTATTAATGGGCAATTAAAAATCTTTAAAAAAACTCACAACAAACTCATTAGTTAAAATGTGTAGTGTGTTCTGTAAAATTCGTTACAGAATTCTTATTTATTTTACCGAATTTTTATTTCGAGCTAATCGACAACTGTGGTAAAATAGCCAAAGGTATGTCGGCAACTGGCGTTATCGATTTTTGCAAGATGGCAGCCGAGTAATAAACGCACGGCCGCCCACACAAAACCGGCGGCCATGTTGAGTTTATCTCGAGTTGCCGGCGTACCTATTGGTTTTGGCACGTTGGCAGTGTTGCGCCGATGTGCGATAACACGACGGCTGATTATAAAAAAAAACTGTGATGCGCTATTTGATAAATGATACTGTATTGATCTTTATGTCAGACTATTGTTTTGTGATCTGTGGACAACCTTTTGCTATTGATATTGCTGTGCGTAATGCGTTAAAGTTTAGTCATAATAATATTGTATTACACACATAGGTCGTTTGTTCGAATATTTGTTTAATATCATATACCTACACAGTTAAATTGTGCTGCCAGCTTTTTGTGTAGAAAAATTGTAATTTCTTCTACAGCCGTGCTGTTGCAGCATGTGAGCTGCTCACAGTCCTAAATAAAACAACTGACAGTAATGTGAAATTTGGAATCGGATGTCAAAGACAAATACTTAACGTACAAACATGATACACTGTTACATTGTGAGTATATTGATAATGTACTAACTAACTCTTTAAGAGATATTTTAATTTTTTTTTTTTTACAGTTGTTATTATTGACTCTTAGTCATTTCTGTGTGGCGAGCGATATCACAAGTCCCGTGTTTGGTTATGATGCTCGTGGGCAACCAGCAGCATTTGGAGACTTTGACTCAGATGAACTCACCGACATGTTTATTCTTAAAGATCAAGGTCAATCAGTTGAGATTTGGTTCGGATCCAATTTAGAGCCACTTTTGAAACCAGGTGACGCTAAAACCAAGTGTAAATTCAAGGACCATCAAATCACATCAGTGGTACCAGGAGATTTTAATGGTGATGCTCTCATGGACATACTTGTTACCGTTAAGAATATCACACGTTCTAAGGGTTGGTTCACCACAGAATCTCCTTCAGACGAGTTGGACGTACATATTTTGTGGGGTGGATTGTATCAGTTAAACTGTTCAGATGAAACTAAACCACTATTTACAATTCACGATCAACCCTTAGTCATCGACTATGACAGAAACATGATAGTAGATTTATTTGGTGTTCAAAAAGCTGATGACGGTACGCTCCAAAGGAAATTTTGGGTTTTTGATACTGACGGCAACTACAAAGAAATTCTTATGGATAAGAGTCAATCGAATTCCACGATTAGAGTGCCGCAATCACACGGTTTTGTTGATATAGGCGGAGGTAAGTAAAAACAAAATGTTCAATTCCACGACAATCTAGCTTTTGTTAACTGCAGACGATTTTATTTTTAGATATTTCACCAGACTTGTATTTAACGACTGAGGACGGATACGAAGTTTGGCTGTTTGATTCAGAAAGCGGAGCGTTTGTTTTCAATCTAACCATTCCATTTCCGGACAACTTATCGGTAGTAAATGTCGGTCAAACTGCGTTTATGGATTTACAACTGACCGGACGCATGGATCACATAGTACCAGTGTGCTTCGACAAAAAATGTACCAACAGTACAATTTATTTTTACAATTTGACCCGTTGGTATAATCTGGGAATAAATTTCCACAACGGAAATAGCGTTTGGGGTTTCGTACCGCCACAGGCCAACATGCAGTATTTGGAAACCATAACCTTACGACCCGGAGATTTTAACATGGACGGATATCCAGATTTGTTGGCCACACTGTGTCTGGGAGGCGACCCTAAAAAGTCCAAAGTATTTTTGTTGGAAAATATACCTTGCCCGGGGGTATGTGAAGGGTTCGACCGTACTTTTGCCGTCCGCTGGGACAGTCTTCAGCATATAAACAAGAACACGGTAATGGGAGCCTTTTATGATTTCTACCAAAATGGTATACTCGATGTTTTACTGGTGAGCGGTTCGAATGCACAATACAACATGTCTGCGTTCAGGAACAGCTTAGACTATGACGCTAATTTCCTAAAAGTGAGTGCGGAAATAATTGAAATTTTTTTTTTTTTTTAATTGATAGTAAAACATTTTTGTTTTCAGGTAATGGTCGTTACGGGCTTGAGGAATAGCAAGAACGAAATGGTACCTAGTCGCCTTGGCAAAAAATCGCGTACGTTCGGTACAAATTTACCTGGACCAAAAGTCAGTTACCTGACAACCACTCAAGACGGCGACCCACGTCAGGGTACCGCCACTCAACTGCCCCAATCGGCCCATTATTCTCTCTACTTGCCGTACACCATATTCGGACTGGGTCGTACACCCAACTTTGTCGACGAGCTGACGGTGTCCGTGTTAAACGAAACACGTTCGTGGACGCAAATCATTCCCAATTCCCAAATGGTAGTGATCCCGAAGCCTATCAACAATCCCAGTGAATGGAACGCCAAACTATTCGTTACGCCGAGTCGGCTGATATTGCAAAGCGCTTTCGCCTTGGCCGGAACATGTTTATTAATATTGGTCATCATCGGTGTTTTGTACCTTAAAGAGCGACAGGAAGATCGCATTGAGAAACGTATGGAAGCTCATAAATTCCATTTTGACGCTATGTAAGAGGTATTTTAGTTTAGATAATTACACAATTTATATTAATATAAATTTTTGTTTTGTTTCTGTGATTATACATTTTCCTTTTTTTTTAACTCGTTAATTTATATTAATTTCTTTAAAAAAAAAATGTTAATTTGATTCGATAATAATATTATATAATATAATAATATGAAGATGTATATATTTTTGCTTGTACTATTGAAAAAGGTAAAATGTAATTTACTTTTTTTATTACATTTAATCGAATTGGTTCATATTTGTGGTTATATTTTTAAACGTGATTTCTACCTTTTTGAAAAATATTTTATTTTTCTCAATCAGATTGTACTATTGAATGTATATTATGTGTTTCCTCATTAGTAGAGTTAATTTAAAAAATAATCATTATCAAACTATTTTTAACTAAACTATGTATGTATAAGATCGTCTGTGTTGAAGTATTAATTCGACATTGACTATATTATTAACTTATTTTATTAATATCATATAGCACGTCATTATAATACAATTATACGAAAAATAGTCGTTGTTACATTATGTTTTAAATCATTTAAAATAAAAAAAAGTATAAACGATCATGTGTCGCAATAATAATTACGATATCAAAAACACCTATTGCGCCTACCAGGCCGCTCTTGCAGAATGTGTGACTTGCAACCTGAGTAAATTTCTGCCTTTTTAGCCGAACCCGATAGAACATTCAGAAATCATTTGTTACTTGTTAGGTTTCAAAAAAAAGGGGGGGTGGGTAGGGCAATAACGTGAACAATACTTAGCTTAGGGAAAAGTATAAGTTTATTTTCTGATTTTCTAATTATGGTATCAGAAAATGGTAAATATTTTTTTAAAAAAATATAAATCAAAATATTTAATTTTAACCCTTTTAAATAAATATAGCGTTAACATTGATACAAAACCGAATTGACGGAATCGTAAATTACAAAAAAAAATTTAAGAAAACCACTTGAGGGGGCTTTACATGATCTAATAGAAACTCAACCATATATATTATATTATGAATATATATATATACATATAACATATATGTATATATAACAAAAATTCACAATTATTGAAGGATGTTTACACACACAGTGAAAAAATTCAATCCTTTAAAACTTTATGGACATGTGTTTTTTAAAACGGAACATATGTTTGACGACGGTGATTTTCCAAACTTTAAAAGCTGAGTTGGTAGTGAAGAAATTAGAAAGTATTTCATGTCTTTTTTTTAATAGGAAATCAATCGCTATTAAATGAGATCCGTTCTTCTAACAAAATATATAACACACCGTGCTCATCGACAACCAATTCATTTTTTTTTTAATCTGGCAACCCTAATCACACTGTATTTTAAGTGCCTAACCCCCCCCCCCCCACAACTTTTTTTTAAAAATTGTGCAATTATAACAGAACAAATTATCACTTGAAAAAAATGTACATAGTACACCAGCTATTGAAGACTGCAGCACGTGGTCCGTGTATTTATTCTAGACAGTGTACACACGCTGGGCATTGTTTATCTGTATCATCTGTTCGAAGAGTGAACGAACTCAGAACTCTGAGCGTTTTAAGATTTCAGAAGTAAACAGCATGGAACAAGCAGGCTTTAGGTGTATTATACCTACTTATTATAACCGAAGTGATGTCGGATGTGGTTTTCTTATGAAATAGAGTTACGGATGAGCCAAGAGGTGAACATAATATAATATATATTATTATTTTTATTACAACACACGATGAGAGATAATAATCGATTTGGAATTCAAGGTCGCTTAGAGACGTAATATACTACTACCTACTTAGTGTTTTGATTTTCTTAGGACGAGACCGAGAATGTCGGTTACCCGCTTCGCATCGTCGAATGGTCCATGAAAATAAATAATCTAAAAAGGGACCTATATAGTATGTACACTGTAAACAAGTCTTCGTGAAAAATAAAAATAAACCGTTTCGCTCTTAATTAGTTTCCGTTTCAAAGACCGATCGTCATCATTTTTATTACATTATAAAAACATATAGCAGAGAAATAACGGTTTGTATAATTTTGTTATTTTTTTTTATTATTAAGGTTTTTCTATAAATAGATAAAAAAAAAAATTAGTAACATATAATATGGAACATAAAGGTAATCTTAGGAATATTTTGTAGATGCCGGTTGTAGTACCTACCATTATCGTATAGACATGTTTAGTACATTTTGAATAATACAAAAATCATTGTATACAAACAAAGATGATACGAAATGTTTTGAATAAAAATTAAATTAAAAAAAAATCCTTTTTTGGTGATTGCTAATATACCAATAAAAATCAATAACATTGCCCACAACAGTTATTAACAAGCTTTAAAATAGTTGAGTTATTTTAAAAAATGTTAAGTTAAAAATAAAATCATACCTATATTGTAAAGGTCATCATAGTCACCTTTCATAAAACATCAACAATATAATATTTGAAGTGTTTACAATTTTTAATTATCCACTATAGTCTTTAGTTATTCACATAATATAATAATATTGTTAAAAATAACCCATTTCCAATGTATATGAACACTTTTTTAGTTATAAACATGTGTGTATACTAAAAAACAACATTAGGAATGCTACAGCTATAAGATGCAAGTTTGTAAGAACACAACATCTTGAGAATTTCCGTTGCAGACAAATAATATTGTACCTAACCTAAGTTGTTGATTATCCGATTTATTTGAAGAGTCGGAATCAAACTGATTCCGATTCTCTACAGTGTAGAGAATACTCTACCCTTTTTTTTGAATTTCTAGAAGGGAAAAAAACTGCTAACAATTTTCCAAAAAAAACGGGTAATATTTTTTGTAAATAATCAGTTATAAGAAATAAATACCCTCCAAATGCTGTGGAGTATAAAAGTTTTGGAAAAAAGCAACATTAAAATTTTTATTTTTAGCAGGAAAATAATGAATAATGGAATCAAAGACAAACTTAAGGCAATGTATTATCACGAAACTTTTAAATAGTAATATCTTATATCAGTATTAATTTTATTTGATAGTTATACATAATCACTCGTATGTATTTTATTTAAGAATATTATCATAATATAATATTATATTAAATTACCTACAGCTGCACACCGAATACTATTATGTAACTTGTTGGTAGTTTTTAAGCACATGACCTAAGGATTTCTAGTTTATACCGTTTTTTCACACAAAGAGAGATGTAGGTACGATTTTTTAAAATTTTTAGGTCACATCAATTTATATTTAGTTATTAGTACCTTTAGTCCAGTGGTTTTCAACCGGTGTGCCGCGGCACATTGGTGCACCGTGAGCGTCTTTGAGGTGTGCCGCGTTAAATCTTAAAAGTTGTATAAGTGTGTAGTATTTCCTCGTATTATACGTATTTACAAAAAAACAATGGAAAAACCGAAAATAAAATGTACAATTTTTTTATATTATTTTAAAAAATCATTTTTTCTTCAATCCCATTTTTCTGAAGTATACCAGACGTCTGGACCGGTTTGTTTTATTTAGTTTTGATTAGTTCTTTTTTATCTACACCTCAGTGGTTCTAATGTTTATAGTTAGTTTTTTTATTATTTTTGTCTGTGTTTGTATGCTAATATATAGTGCATGGGACACAACTGTAGTTATATTATGTTATTATTATACTCGTCGCAAATGATCTGATCGTTACACGTCGCATAATATTTAGTTTATTTTATGTAACAGTATATGTGTTTTTTTAAATTTAATTACTTATTTGTATTCAATAATAATTATTATTATGGATAAATTTATACCTCGTTCTGCTAACAACACTTAAGTGAGTCATGAGTGAACCAACAAAAAATATTATCAGACGTCAGTATCATGAAAATTATTTAAGTATAGGATTTTCTTGGTCGGGTGATGTACATGATCATCGTATAAAACTCTATTCATCATTGCATTAATTTATTTTACAATCATTAACTCTTAAGCCTAATATTCTAGATTCTAGAATCAAGATGGTATAAGAAATAAATAATCAAATCTATGGTTTGATGTGCTACAAGAATTTTGTAGAAGATTAATTGTGCCATGTTGTTAAAAAGGTTGAAAACCACTGCTTTAGTCCATAGTTATGGATAGTGTGGTTTACCTACAAAGGTTAGGTTAGGTTAGCTAAATAGAAAATCTACCTAATAAAAACTAAATTTCTCTAATGTTCTACAGAGAGTAGATAGCCCACTGTGGACTGTCCACTTATAACTAGTGGGTAATATCTACCTACATAGTATGGTATACCTGTCTAGTACTTACTTAATATTTTACCTGAGAACAGCTCTCAAAATTACCTTAAATAGCCTATCTAAACTATTGTTGGGTTAGAAGTTAGGACTTAGGTGTATCACATTTATAGAAATAAAAAACCATACAATGAGAATTTCCTAAAGAAAGTCACATGAAGCTACAGTGAACAATTTTTGGAGCTACGTTTTACTGGAAATAAATTATGTATAAAACAGTATAATAATGTATTATGAATGAATTTTCAAACGAATTGGGACCTTTTTTTAATTCTCCATATTAGGCTTTTTATTTATTTTGTAATTTGTATGTATGTTTTATCCACGATCAATTTTCAACAAAATATAAATGAAACCTATCATTTTTTCAGCTACAATAAGTTTGTTGTTAAAAGTCTATAGGTAATTAGGTACTCGAAGAAATACAATAATATTGAAATAGGAAAACAATTGGGTTTTTCAGAGAAATTTTTAATCTTTTGCTTTGGAAGTGGAATTTGCATTTGATGATGCGTTACCTAATAACAATTAAATGAATTAATCCGAATAAATATTTTTTTTTTTTTTTTTGTAACGTTAGATCATAATGTTATGATAAATACTTTTATTATAGATAGATGGTTAGGTTAGGTCGAATAATAACTGTTAACACGAATATCAGAACTTTATTATTCAATTTTGCAACCGAAACTCCAAAATGATCCCCCCCCCCTTTATATATAAATTATATATAGGTATATTCAAATATCGTGTCGTTCATTGTGTTAATTGGAAATGAAAAACAATTATTTTATACTTTTTTTAGTGACAGACCACTTATTTTTTTGAAGTCGGTTTTTTAAAAAATATTTTTTACAGCCAGGGATGTGTTCTTATTAATTTCTTTTTTTTGTTCCTGGACCATGATATGTTCTAAACCGCTGAAAAGATTTCTTCGTGTAGCAACTATATATATGTATCGTGTAGATGAGAAATCGTGCGTGAAGGGCGTTTTTTTGGGCTTAAAATCAAATCAACCTCTTCCCTTCTTTCCAAAATCGAGGAAACACCGGTCAATTAATGGAAAATTTTACCCTAGACCCGTGGGCCGTGACCTCTGTATTATTAATTATTATTTATTATCATAATTATTATTTGTACGCGGTTATCTCCGTCGCGTGTCGGACGACGTGCGCGTGTGTGCACCGCGCGCCCGTTACGCGTTGTGGAGGTAGATTTCGGGAAATTCAACGCCGGCACGGTTGGCTGCACTGCGACGGGCAAATACAAACGTAACCGTAATCTTCCGCAGCGCCTTGGCCGCACTCACACGGACGCACACTGACGTGCACACACGCACGCACACACACACACGCGCAGAATCACAATAATATTGAAATTCGAATGTTGTTTTTATCCGTTTCGTATTGTCGTTTTGGTCGTTGACGCCGCCGTCGGTCCGTGTGTCTCGTCTCTCGCCCAGGCCGAACCCCCCCGTCGAAAGCGGCCACCGCCAGCAGCAGCCAGCACAGCTCTGATCATTGTGGTGTGTACGTTGGCCCGTCGTCCCGTCGTCTGGTGTCTCTGTCCTACGTACCTACGATGCGTTTGCTGCCGACGGCCACCGAGCGGACAGCGGACGGACAACAACAACAACACGGTCGGCCGGAAGCGCACAGCCGCGGTTGAGTGTGTGTGATATTCAAAAAAAATTATCGTTGATATTGTTATGGAATGTCGGTTGATGGTCGTTTCGTCGTAGTCATAACGGTTGTTTGATCAGTCCCGGCCGATAAATGAATAGGTGAGTTTTTTTATTATTTTAACAATAATAGTATGTTGTATGTAGGTATATATAATTTTCCAATTACCGTTTTCGATATTTGGTAGGTCGTTTTTGAATATGGCGTTTACACGCCAATCGTCGTGGGCTCGGCCTTCCCTCCCACCGAGGGGAACGATAATTTTGTTGGTTTTGATTAATTTGAATTAAAATCGCAGTGACCTTGGCCGACGGTTATTGTCGGTTGTGCGTTTAAATTTTTTTCCCCCAATCCGATTGCACACGGATCGACAATCATAATATTATTTTAATACCGTTAGGTACAAAACAACATACACCTATTCTACGGTCGCCAACTAGGCAATCGACTCTGGTCACTCTTTTTGTCACAGTTTTAGCAAAATAACTACCTATACCCAAGTCACTTTGGCCTCTACTACCGAAAAAAAAAAAAAATTTCCATGAAATTCTGTTTATTTGTTTATTTGTCTTATCAGTGCCAAATTTGTAGGAATTTTTCTTATCAACTATTTTTCGTTCAATTTATGAATCGTCGAACAAACGCCCGAAAGGGACGGAAAATATATCCGATATGGATTTTTTAGCTTTGATGCATTATCGGAAAGTAAAATCGATATCTTCATACATCAAACCCTTCAAAATATATCTGTGGTATTCAAGCATTTTCATCTCACGGCTCCTCTGTGCCCTGACAGTATTTTGACGACTCCTTAACTATTAATTCCCCCCTATGGCATACGGAAATCCATAAATCTCCTGGGCTCCTTTAACCAACAGCTCACGCGACGCCCATGGGAGCTGCGACGCACAGTTTAAATACCTCTGGAATATATTATTATACAACATTTCCAAATATGTTTTTTTTAAATTAAAATTTCTGAGTAAATAACGCTCAAACGGTAATTGTTTAAAAACTTTACAGCGTTGTTAAAATCCAAACAAAACTACAATAAAAAAAAATAAAAAACTACGAAATTACTATTATTAATTTTCTTAGAAACAACGTAACATATGCTAAAGGATTTTCTGCCCTCCCCCCCTCGGCTAGCTGAAATTGTAAAAAACTGTTGACGTCCCATCAAATTAAAATTAGCCAAGACATTTAAATGAAAAAAAAAAATATGCTTTATTAAATCTACAAATATCATTGTAATCTATACAAATGAGATTATCTTTAACTAATTTTTATTTTATTATAGGTATTAAATGTAGTTTATTCATAATTTGAATATTGTTATTTTTTTAAAATTATATTTATAGTTAAGTGAATATTGGTTATCAGCATCGGTTTAGATATATCTACTATACCTAAAGGCATTGCTTTAAAAAATATTACTCGTTTCTATCTTTTTTGTTTTTAACATATTTTTATGAAAAAAGCAATTACTGATAAATTTTAAACGTAAGATTACCTTGCGATACTCCAATAGTTATGTAGTTATACTATTACATTCTACAGAAAATAGTTTGATATGAGTTAAAAAAAACAATACTATGTGTTTGTTTATGTTCCTACAGCGATATTGTTTTAAGAATGTTTTGGTCCTAATAACGGCTGAGAAATTGGTGTAAATTGCGCTTTTAAAAAAATATAGCAAACATTTGTTTATTATAAACACCAACGCGTATGTCACAGTAGTTAAAGGCGTCAAACTTGTTACCAGAGGATTCCTGCCTAAATGTGAAATATATGTTGTCTGCGGAGACGTTGAGATATGATTATTTTTGAGGAAATGTTAAAAATTACTGTTAAATTGTAGTCTATATACTGTAGACTAATATTATCCTACAAGTTTTTGCAATGATGTGGTATTTTATAACATTGTATTACAATGTTTTATTTCAACTGATAACGACGTTATCAACTTACAAATTATCAGAACGGTACTGGATTCTGCACATCACTATTTAAGGGTTTAATAAAATAAGATTTTACATAAAATGTTTATACTTATTTATACAAGTTAATAAATGTTGACATTTTTAAAAACTACCAAGTAACTTGGTTGGTTCCTAGGTTTAATAATTTAGATCACTTGTATAAAAATAAAAAAACAAAACATTACACTACGTTAACTGTGTGTTAAGTTAAAAACTCAAAAAATAGTTTTGATATGGACTACTTAAAAATACCTTTCATTCATATTCCTGTATTCGTGTCTTGTTGTAAATATAATTACGGAACAATCAAGACCGAACTCAATTTTGGAACTTTTATTAAGTACTTATTATTAAGGAGATTTATTTGCTCTAGTTTCCACCAAAACATTTAATCTTATATCAGCTAATTTTTGTAGAATTTAGTGGTACGAGTATAACGTCGTAACTCTAAGAGTATCAGAAGGTAATTTTACATTTAAAACATATCTGTAAATCGCTTAATAATTTAAACACTAAAAAGAAAGATATACAAAAATATAATTTTGTAGTCGATAATATTTAATGTTGTATAAATGTAATGGTTGATATGTTTGTGTATTAATTGTAGTTATTAAATTACTAAAATCATAACCGCAGTTTTCTTGGTTGTATCGCAATAATCTTGAACTGCGTAAACGTTACTAGCTATTAAAAAAATGTTTTGCTGAAAATACTAAAAATTATACATTTACTATCAAAAACAATTTATGTTTATAAATTAGTATTTTTTTCAATACTAAAATAATGGTAATTTTTATTTGTTAAAATGTAATTTGTGCCAAGTTGTTTTCCAGTCTTCACTTTCACCAAATATCGATTTTTGGCTATATTTTTTCGACATCCATTTCTAAATTATCCACCATTGTTGTCATGGTGGACCCTGGGTAACCATGTGACTTTTTTACCTACTATAGCTACCTTTAAAATATGCTATTATGCTCTGTCCTTTATTAGGTTGTTACCAGGTAGACCTTATTGTATGTCACTTGTCTGTGCTCTTCCGTTTTCTGTAAACTGGTCATCGTTTCGACAAAGTTCTTCCAAAGGTCTCTTCCCTTTTAAAGAGGTTAATTACATAATATATCTTAAAGGTTTAGGTAAAGTAAATATTTTTTCCATTACAATAATATTATATTATCACATACCCGCAGCATTTATTATAAATATATTTTTTTTTGTTGTTTGTACCTGACATTTTTTTTTCTGGTGTTTATTAACTAATTCAACTGATTATTGTCAAGCAAGTTACAGTCGATTCATTTGGGCTGTAGTATATTTTTTTCCCCAGAATTTTTCTGTCGCTCAAGTTTAAATAGATGGGAATTTTTTAACATTAAGGAGGGAAATAAATTACCCCTAGCCCCCCCACCCCCACCGATAAAAGGCTGATAAAGAGTCGTCCAAACAGCCCAAAAGTACATCTGTGTACACTTTAATTTGTCATGATAATATTGGTTTTGCTGCAAATAAAAAAAAAACGTGTCCCCCCTAGTTTATTTGTTATCGTTCATTACAAAAATGTATTGGTGTATTATTATTATTATATTGTTGTAATCATTTGACGGTAATGATCCGGTTAAAGTAAATTATGCGATAGAGATTTCTATTGTTATTTCTACTAGCACATTATTAAAATATGTTTTTAAACCTGTCATAAACAATAGTCATTATAAGACGACTAGTGGGCTATTATTTATTTTTCTATTATAAAAAAAAAAAACATCTATTTATTGACCGTTGATTTACAAGACGTGTTTAAAGTGTATATTTTACTCTATTTATAGTTGATGGGAACGTATAAACACAGTAGTAGCCTTTTTCCAATTTTGTTTGTTTCATGAAATTAATAATTGATGATATTATGATTTTTGAAGTTATGTTCTATCATATTATTGTCTTAATAATTTTGTATTGATATACTATTTCCTAATCTCAATATTCTCTCGTTGTTATCCACACTTTCTCAACATAACGGTTTTCGTGTTTATCTAATAATATATTATAATAGGTAACAAATTCTCAATATTTTAATCTCTAAAAATTAAAAAAAAAAAACATTTTAATCTAGTAATCAAAACTATTAAATAATTAATTGTTGTTTATTTAGAACAATTAAAAAAAAAAATAGCGAATTATATATCCCATATTATATTATTATTTCAAATTGTTTGAATAGAATTTAAACAGTTTTTTCTTATTTCTTTAGTTTAGTTTTTATTTATGGAAATATTTTACTCATATTAACGGTAAATTTGTTCTGTTGGGATATGTCATTAATATTGTATTGTACTTGTTGCTTGTTCTATTGTGCAATACTCGTTTTCTGGAAATCTTAACAGTTAAGAGATAACTCATTTTATTTTAATGTTAATGCATGCATGCATAATACTATTTTTTCACGCTTTTCCTTGTTACGAAAATAGAACACCGACTTAAGATTTTTTAATGACAACACCAATAAAACGTGTACATTTTCAGTTGTGTAACAAACATATTATAATATTGGAAAAAAAAAAAACGGTTTTTTTATGTCTTATATCAAACAAAAGCCATCACAGTTGGGGCCGCCGGAGAGGTCACAGGTTTTTAGGAGTTCTCTGAAAGTGATAACAGTCACAATCAAATATTAAGCTCTTCGATGCGAATATTTAGATGATAAAATATACAATATATATGTAGATAGGGTTTTTTATTGCAATAAAACTACTGCATTGTATAATCATCTAAAATAAAATTGAATTCGATTTTTGTAGAAATGCCTGCTGTCTAGTGTTCAATAAGTATAAAATTTGTTTGAAAACTGATTTAAACTGTTACCATTTATATATACAAAAAAAAAATGATAATAGTCGTGGTGCACCACTCTGTTGTAGACGAGGGTTGTGCTTTTAGTGTAGAACTCCCGCTAATAAAAATAATACCGATTTAGCGAATATACCTATTGCGGTCTGCAACTGTAGTGGACATTGATCGTAAATTATTGTTTTCTTATCTTTAGTACACCATTTTAGCCGTCATATTGCTAATCGTTGTATTATTCTTGCCCGTGGTAATAAATTAAATACTCGGGAATTGAAATAAGTGTGCATATATAAATAAAACGGACATGGCTTGGAATAAGAAAAAAAATGGCTTTTTAAATGGCTATAACCTTATTTAAGAATTAAACCGGAAAATTGTAGCTTTACAATTGGGAATCAACGTATAAAAAAAAATAAAGTGTTGCAATTAAATTTGTATCACACAATTTCGTACAAAGGATGGGTTTAAAATCGTTGTGATCAAAAGTAGCATTATAGCGTGTTGGGACTTTTTATTAAAAAAATTATAAATTAATTACACGGTTTTAGAACATTTTGGGTGAGTTTTGTCCAAAAGATGACAATATCCGATGAACCTTGAAATTACCTTAGCAGGTTAAGTTTCTGAGTAAAAAAAATTAAAAATTGAACCGCTATAAAAAAAAAATATCTCAAATAATAAATGACTCTTAGAAAGCTCGTGTAATCCCATTATTGTATAAAATGCTGAAAATGCTAAAAAAAAAAAATACATTGATTACAAATTGTCAAGTCCAGAGGTTAAATTTATTGCCCTACAGGTAACCAACCTTTTTTTTTTTAGGTATTTCCAACGTTTTAAGCAATTAAAGAATTATGCTATGATTTAAATGAGGCATTTATTATTTTAGGTTTTATTTTTGTATCATACGACACCTGATTTATGTAACAAAGTGAAGAATAATTTGTACATCAATAACAAGGTAAAATAGTTTACATCCGTCCGACCAAATGAAGGCCTTTGAACTTAACGTATTACTTGTCAGATGGATAATTAAAAGATAACGACTGATACATTTTTTATCGCACTGACTTCTGTGTTTTCATTGGATGTTTTTACAAACCAGTGTCGTACAAGGCGTATACAAGGGGGTGTTTGGGGTTTATGACCCTCCCTGTGGGGTTTTATCACACCGGTTAGGTATGTGTGTATTAAATATGTATATTTTTTTATCGTAACTTTTTAAAATGATCAAGTAGTTTTTGAAACAGAAGTGAATTTGTTATCGCATACATATTTCGAAAAATTGAGTTACTTGGTTGTGTTCTTGGAGGCGCTCTCGTTTAGTGCAATAAAGACCGGTTTCCAAATATTTTCAAATTTTTCCGACACTGCTGCCTGTTGGTACATCTTTGAGAGTCCGAAAGTAAGTAGTTAATCTACATTAAAAAACAATTATAACAAATATCTTAGCAATTCTGTTGATCAAGACTTAATGGATAGGCGTTTTAAATATTTACTGCTAAGTTACAGCCAATAAGCATAGATTAGAATATAGGTATATTATGTTATAGACATTTTTCTATTATTTTTTTTTTTTATGTAAAACATATTTTTTCCATACTTGCATATAAAATAAACGACTTGTATTATATAAATACAGTTTGAGCGAAGTTTTTAGATAGTCCTTTCATACATTTGCATGTTGGAAAATTTAAAAATTCGTTTGGTGGTTTTCCTCGCAGACCTTTCAATTATAATTTATTATTATCATCATTCATTACTATGAGCTATTGTAAATGTTGTAATTTGTAAGTGTAATATATATTATATTATAGTTAATACCATTCCCTTAAAAAAATAAATCTAATAAACCCAACCCACATCTACCACAAAGTAGAATAAATCAGACAGGACACTTGATGTGTAAATAATGATTTTTGGGATGGAGGCCGCAATCTTCTCATTTATAATTATATTCGTATTAAATTGTACCAGCTATACGATACTAATAATTATAATAATGTCTATATACAAAATTATGCTATCATTATGTAATAAATGAAAAGATGGTCGCCACGTTTTTTTATAGCGATTTAAGTATATTATTATACACCGTGTTAAATTTTCACCCCTTGGATCTACCATCCCAGTCCAAAAACAACCTCTTTTACAGGTTAGGATTAGGTTAGGTTAACTTATTGTCTATTGTTTCCAACCAAACCTGACCCAATTAACCGAATAAACTTGGAAAAGTTTTCCTCCGCTCCTCTCGTGTTGATTTTATATAATATTATTTTAAATGACAATATTATATATTAGCATAATATAATATAATTTCAACTCGTTTGTACTTGAAACAAAATTGCGACATCGCCAAAGGTGTTTTTCTATATAGCCATATGTGTAACTATTATAACGCAAGTGCTTTCCGGTTCTCTCAATTTATTGTAATATCATTTTATATATGTATATATGTATACATATTATATTATATGTTGTTGCATCACTTAGTAGTAGTTTTTATTTCGAGTCACAGCCCTTTTATTCTCATGTTAGGAAATCAGCTTCCTCTTTTTTTTTCCTATCAAGTATGTATGTATGTGTCTATAATGGCCAACCGGAGGAGGAGGGGTCGTATTGCTGTGTGTTTAGTCGATCCCCTAACCAAGTAATCCCAGCTGTCTTATACCTACCACCTGGCCTCCGCAGTGGTGTGCTCCCGCCATAATAATATTATATACACTATATATTAGACCGTGTGTAAATGGTGGTGGTGGGTTCAGTGTTTCATTCTTTCAAGGTTTTTTTTCCACCCGTATAACGCGGGCTTGCTGTCACATCGTGGTCCGTCCTAGATCAGTTTTCAAAAAAAAAAAAAAAAACGTCTGTTACCGAAATTCAAAATAGTTTTATTAAATAAAAAAATATAGTTTCCACTTATTGTGTCAATGTCTAAACGACCTTTTAGCTGTGTCGTCAACACCGGCCAAGACTATCATTGCAACAAGCGAATGCTTTTGATACCTTCCAACGATGAGTAAGTCGCGAACCGAGAATTATTTTTATAATTAGTTTAAAAAAATTATATATAATTGTCTTAAGTTAGTTTTTCAACTGCGTTTTACCTCATTTTAAACCAAATGGAAAAATATTTAACAAACATTATTCGACACAATTAGTTTTAATAACTTTAATCAGGTTATTCCTGAAAAAAAAAAGAAAAGAAATTATCTTGTTAACAACGGCAGTAGTTGAATTCGGTAAACGATAATCATTTGGTATTTTCGTAAATTAAATTACTTTTAATTTGTTACAATAATATATTATTATTATATGAACACGGTTGTGTTGATAAAATGTAGATAATACGTATTGGCTCAATAAACGATTAGTGTATTATTCGCATTATGTGTATCACTGTAGATGATAATTTTCGAAACTAAACGTGCCGAGTAAATAAATTCGATAGAGCATGATTTGTTTTGGACAAAAAAAAAAGAACATCGTTCAAAGAATAAAAAAAAAACTCGAAAATTAAAATTGCTGAAATTGTTTTACTTGCTTTGAAAAATGGAATACTAGTGTACGGCGTCAGTTGTATGCTTTGTGTTTTCATAATTTTGGATACCAACAGCTTAAACTAATTTAAAATATGTAGATATAATCGAGCAAGAAATGTACAATTTATTAAGGGTCCAGGAAACAGGATTCACGGTCTGTGGCTTTGCATTGTGTAGGAGCTTCATTTGAATGAACTGTACACTCTGTGCTTACTATACCAATAAGGAGACTTAATGTTCCTTGAATGTGTCCTTGGTTTTTATAAATACAATTTTAAAGGGTTTGTCTATTGTTATAGATTAGTGATTCAATCTCAGTTTTTCGGTGTGAATATAATAAAACTATGACTAGAGCAATGACAGTATTGCAGTAGTGTTATTTCTAATTAGTTGACTTTAATATTAATAAATCCCCTTAAAAATATGTTTCAGGTCAAGATCAGCGTATGACAGCGAAACCGACGATGGAGATGACTCGGACGATTATGCGACGCCGCTCGGTGTCCCATTGTTGTCGAGCGATGATGGCCGACGGTTGGTCGAATACAAGTCGTCGCACAACTCCATCAATAAAGGTCGCTGGACCAAAGACGAGGTTTGTTTTTTTGTCTTATAGAGTTTATTAAAAGAAAAAATTTAACATGATATTATTATGCATAATTTTAATTTTTTAATTCTCCATACAGGACATACGACTGAAACAGTTGGTCGATGAATATCAAGAAAGATGGGATATTATTGCTCAACATTTCAATGATCGGTCTGATATTCAATGCCAGCAGAGATGGCACAAAGTTGTAAATCCCGATTTGGTCAAAGGACCTTGGACGAAAGAAGTATGCGACGATCACGTTCCATCATATTTATACCATAGTGTCATATTAGTTATACATTACCATTACTTTAACTTTTGTGTGTTTTCTTTTATTGTTTTAGGAAGATGAAACCGTCTTAGAGTTGGTAGAAAAATACGGTCCCAAAAAATGGACTCTTATAGCGCGACATTTGAAAGGTCGGATAGGTAAACAATGCCGCGAGCGATGGCACAATCATTTAAATCCCAATATCAAGAAAAGTGCCTGGACTGACGAAGAAGATAGAATTATATTTAGGGCACACAGTCAATGGGGAAACCAATGGGCCAAAATCGCTAAACTGTTGCCTGGAAGGTAAAATTGATTATATTATATTTACATCACAAAAAAAATGTTTAACATTGATTAATATATTTTTATTATTGAAAATTAAAAGACATTAAATAAACCGAGACTTCTATCATATTTACAGGACTGACAATGCGATAAAAAATCATTGGAATTCGACTATGCGTCGAAAATACGAAATTGACGAAAAAGGCGAACTTTACGGTAAAAGCATGTTGAAACCAAAATCTAAGAGTATTAGGGCTCCCATGGATAACAAAAACGATTCGACGAGTGGTCGTCCAAACGCAGTACAAATTAACCGGTCCGAGTATATTACGGTTGACATGCCGACTCAGGTATTGAAGTTAAATTAATATTAGTAAAATAATCGTATTGCGTTACGATAACCATTTATGTTAAATTAAGGCGGCTAACATTTATTTATATTTTGTTTATCTCGATGGCTAAATGATTATTAATTTTGTAAATTCTATTTTTCAGTATATTGGTTGGATGCCTCCTAAATATATACCGGACAATCCTATAAAACAAGACCTCGAACAAGACGTACGCGACAAGGATGAAGTAGTTGCGGCTGCGGAAGTCTTAAACTCTTTAATGTCGACCCCTCAAAAAAAAGCTGACGATATAGCTAAAGACGTCTTTAAAGTCAATTATAAACTAGAGTCTCCGCCAAGACCTGCCACTGTTCCGTTGCAAACCAACTCTCCATCGTGCTATTCACCGTATCGGTATGCAGAAAATAAATATTACTTTTACCGATGTAGATATTATACTGCACGTAAAACATATTAACTAATTGATTTTAGATTGTTCGAAACTGGAGGTTATGTTGAGACTCAGCAAACTAATAACAGTGTGGTCGGTAGTTCCCCGGACGAAGGTTACGCCGAACTACATCTCGTTACCCCGACTAAATCACCAAAAAAAGAAGACTGCCCCGAGCTTTGTAAGTGTTAGATATTATAAGTGACTATCAAACAATAAAATCATAAGAGGTAGCAAAAGAGAGCAAAAATCCAAAGCTTCCTGTAGAGTTATGGACAAACAAAAGTAACATATTTATATTTTCAAAATAGTGATTGTGAAATTGCTAGGCATTTAATATTATGACAAAATAATTTTTATTTTATATTAAATAAATAAAAATAACCCCTAATAAACCCTAACCCGTATTTAACGACTTCAGTATGTTTCGATGTCGGTCATTCCGATGTATCGTCTCTGTGAAAAAAAGTAATGATCTGATCTCAATGAAAATACGATAAAAATTTTTTTTTTCCAGATTACCAATACGACGTTGCCACACCAAATAAACAAAGTCAATTTTCACCCAACAGTAAACTTAATAAAAGACGAAGGAGTTTTTCGGATTACCCCGAAATCGGCATGAATATACAGTGCAATGTAAGTATATAAAACTGATTTTACTAGGAACTCTGTCTACAGTCGTCTCGGTCGTGTCGTTTTGACAAATATATACACGCAGTCCGTACGTATACTCGCCTGAACGACGCGATTACGCTGTACACTAGGTGTAAGGGTGTGTACTCATGGGCAGGGAGATTTATTAAATCCACAAATGGGGTGTATTTAGTGTATCACAATATTATCATTTTCCAAAAAAATAAAGCTTTTCGTTTAATTTTCAATAAATGTCGCTAATTTTGCTCAGTATATTTTATTTATCAAAGGTAAGAAAACCGGTTTAATTAATTTAAATAAAATATTTTATGGGCGCTTCTAATTGTATTATAATTTGTCGTCTTAGGATCGTAGTGACCAAATCGACCAAATGCGTATATTTCAGAAGAGGTGAAATTAAATTAGAAAAAATTGAATTCCTTGTTCAAGTTAGTGTTTAGTGTAACAAGTGTAAAAACAATTGTAATGTTCTTGTCTTGGGGAAACGGTTTATCCGCTTTGACCATAAATTTAGTTTATTATATTATACTTATTACATTATAATTTTAACACAAATTGTAGTATTTTGATGGCTAGTCCTACCTAACTGAATTTTATTTAAACGTAATGGCCGATACATTGTTTAATACTAAAGTTTTGTATAAATATTTCCATCGTATTGTGTTATCGCGGAAACTGCTTATTAAAACGTTATAAACAAGTTAAGAACATTTTTGGTCGATACGTTACTATGATCTTATAGCGGTAAATTTATTCTGTGGTTTCTTTATCGTCTTTCCGTGGCACATATTATAATGCGTTCAAATATTGTAATTGTTTTTAAAACCCGACACAAAACTGTTAAAAAAAAAGGATTTAAACAATACACTATTCTTTGTTTATAGTTTTTTGTCAGGTTTTATCAATAATTATACGGATTTATTTTTTTCGTTATATCACAATTCCACCACGCTACAAATATTATGCGATTCATTTTGGAGGGTGCGTTTAGAGGTTTTTTTTTTTTGGTTACGGTTGTGGATTTTTTTTTTTTTTTTTCTATATCAAACATTTAAACATTAATTAGAACTATACATTATTTATATACATTCATCGTGTAGTAGATATTAAGCTTATCGTTGTGTACTATATTTTAACATTTAAAAATATCAACTCATTTTTTACACCATTCCGAAATTCAAAAGCGTTACACAACATACGAGACCCGCAAAACTATTACGCGGTTGGCCGTAATCGTGCATGGAAATGATTTTGTGTGATCGGTTTTTCTTGTATTGAAAATTTAATATTTGTATGCATAGTGCCAATTTTTTTTTTTCTGCGACGTTTTCAGTTTTTTTTTTTATCCTGAGCGCGTGTTTTCGTTTTTATTGTGGTATTCTATTCTAATCAGAGTAAGGTAATCCTCCTAAAATGTATCTCCCTTTTTTGCTCGGTCCACTTGTTGTGTTGTTTTTTGCTAAAAAAAAAAACTGAGATGTGTGTGTGTGTTTGTGGTATAGACCATTTTGTCAGGCTTGAGTATACCTGGAACGCCTGAGAAACGGACTCCAATTAAACAACTTCCGTTCAGTCCCTCACAAGTATGTAAATATGTTTTGTTATGCCTTCGTAGTGTTTGTTTTTCTATGATCAATAATTATTATCACTAGAAATAGTGCATGTAAATGATATAATAATGCCAGTATTTGTGGTTGTCGTTTTACAATTATTTGTATTTTAATTTCAAAAAAATTAAAAACGAATGATTAGTTGTTACTTTATCTAAAGGGTTTTTAAGCTTCTTATTTGTGTTAATTTGTCTTTTGCTTCGTAGACTACTAAAAAACAATATTTTGCACGCATCGTATACTTTTTTTTTAGCATTGCATGCTTTTGGTTAACATAAAATAATTAATTATATTTTATTTGTTTAACTGCTTTTATTTAGAAGTATTTTTTTTAAAAGAAAATTATTATTTTTTCTTATTATATTATTGTTATTAATTATGATAATATAATACGATGTGCGCCAGGGTAAGCTTTTAGGTTACGGTTCTTCGTACGTAAGTTGATGCTAAACATTGTGGATGGTTAACGCCACAAAGAGGTGTTTCGTTTAAAGTTTCCTATTTAAAAATAATTTCTATTTTTTTGTACATTGTATAATATTAAATATTCAAACCTTTTGTAATGTATAATAATGATAATTTTTCCGTTTAGTTCTTAAATAGTCCTTCAATGTCATTTGTTGTTAATTCGTCTTCGACACCAGTCAAACGGCTATTAGCCGGTTGTAGTACCAGAGCGATAAACGAAGAATTGGTCGACGACAGAATGAAATCTGAGACTTTAGTGACGCCAAATTTCACTTACAAGTTTGCCGGAAGAAGTCACGATGACGTCAAGACGCCGGAAATGAGTAAAACGAACACACCTCATACGCCGACTCCGTTTAAAATAGCACTGGCCGAAGCTGGTCGCAAGATGGGCGTAAAACATTTAGTATGTTGTTGTTTCAATAATAATTATCGTTAACAATCCATATTTTGTACACATATTTGTGTAATATTTATGTATTGTTTTTTGTTTTTTTTTAGTCTCAGTCTCCATCGGCGTTGATTGAAGACATAACTGATTACATAAAACAAGAAGATCGAGTCAAAAAGGAATGTGAACTTTCAGATTCCCAATATGAAACCGACAGTTCGAATATGTTTTGTGTAAGTTTCAAACAAAACGTGTGTTGCGCGTCATATTTGTGTGTATTGATCGAAAATCCAATTTGTCCACAGGATACAAACGATACGGTCGCGTGTGGAAAAGAGAACGCCGAACCCTTAATGCCTACACCACAAAAAAAGGCCAGAAAATGTCTAGCGCCAGTGTGGGCTTCACCTACTGCCTCGTGGAATCAACCTTTAGACACATCCGTACGTTGCGTTTAAAAAATTATACAGTTTTAAATAATATCGTACTCCGTCGAGAGTGCTATCGTTGATTTGACGATAAATTATTGTTAAAAGCAAACACTTGAAAATTATTTTATTTTCAACCGTCACCTCGTTTGATGACAACTAATAGTATACAACTGTTGTTAGGTTATCCTCACTATTAATTACGTATAAAAAAAATTGTTGAACAATTGTACCGTATTATTTTTATAGCCGAGAGTAATTCGAAATTCAAACGCCGGAGAAGTTTATTCGTCAGCCAACGTAATCGACGAGTCGAGGTTCACGTCGGAAGAATATTCAGCATCAAAGGTAAACACAAAATTTAAAAAACGGAGCGTTAAGATTTAATAGATGTTTTTTTTTCTTTTACACTAATCTGGTTTGAAGAGTGAATACGTAATATATTATATTTTTTTATATCATACACCGAACCTGCCAATTTTTTTCATTGTGTGTGTGTGTGTGTGTTTAGTTTTGATATTTTTTTTTTTTATTACATTAATATTATTATTGTTCCTTGTAACTTAGACCTTTTTTTTTTTGTTTTGTTAATATTTTTCAGGTATTTGGGTGAGTAGGTCATTAAAAAAAAAAAAAAAAAGTAGTTTTTCTTATTCATTCTTAATTATTATTAAATTATATATGCACCGTTTAGAGCGATTTGAGTGCCCGTCAAGTACTTTAGTTTTGCGCACTGTTGGAATCGAGTCACTTTAGTTACACAATAAAAAAACACAATATATATCGAATGCATGAAAGACACGTTGAAAATTCCAACAAGAGAGGTAAAATTTATGTGTTTCTATGTAGTCTGTGTCTATCGAAAATTTTGTCTGTCGGCGGGCAGTAGTTGTTCGTGTAAGACTTGTGGGTCTTATTTTTTTTTAAATAGGTGAATTTTTAACACACTTGGATGTTGTAATTTAACAGTCGGAATGAATTTATTCAAGGCCCATGTGACATAGACCATAGTAAAATATTTTTTATAAAGCATATTTGTATCGGTTAAATTTGAATTATTGCTTAAAATTTACATTTTAAAACTTCAATGTCTCTTCGAATAATACTTGAATGTTTGTTTTTATGTACCGGTGTTTTGCGCAGGGCTTTTGTGATTTAAATTTACAATACCGATTTACATTTCGATTTAACACAACACCATTAATTTATATTTTTTATTTACAATACCGTTACTTAACTCTTTCCGGCTTTGGTTTACCACGCCGTTTCTAAATTTTATCCATTTTGGTTACGACAACAAGACGATACTGTCAATATTACCTTTCTGATTTCCTAAAAGTTTTAACCGGATTTTGAAACCGGTTTCTGATCCTCCCGGTTTTGTGTTTTTTGTTTGTTCCACAGTATTGTAGTTTGATTTAGAACACACAATGTAGTTGTTTAGTAGTGCACATAGAACGGTTTGAATGTATTATTTTGGTTTATGATTTTATTTTAGAAATGGTCGATAACTACTATGTGTATAAATAATGTTGTAACGAGAAATGAACATTTTTATATTTTTACCTTTAACGGGTGACTTTTCGTATTAAAATAGTAAATTAAAAAATGGTTTTTCTCGTAAAACATTGTTTATACTCGTTTAAGTTAAAAAACCTTTAATTTGTTGCATGTTTTAAAAGAAAAAAAAGTATTTCTCAAAACTTGTTTAAAGTGCATTTTGTATATCTCTTCAATTTTTAATTATTTATATTACTTATATTTTACTTCTAAAGTTTACACATACTAAAATAGTATAACAACTATTGAGAAATACTTTTTGTTAAACAAATTTTTTTTTTTTATATATACATTTATATGCTAACGAAAAATGTCCATTGTTCCTCCCATTCCTTTTGAAAGCGTGAAAAAAGAAAATCAGTTTAAATTTATTTTTTCTTCGGTGTATCGGTCCAGTCCTCAAATGTATGTTTTACCAATTTTAAATGATTATTCACAAAATCAAGCTTATCTATTCTTCCTATTCCTTTGGATTTCGTTTGTTTGATAAATAATAATAATAATAATAATAATAATAAGTAATAGTAGTTGCTGCTATTCGTTATTATTACGGTGACGGTGTAGTAAACGGTGGTTGTATGTATTGTTGTTTTGTGATGACCAGAATGGCCCTACCGCCTCACCAGGCGTACCGCAAGCTACAGCTATCCGCCGACAGTTACCACAGCCGTCAGACAACAGCAGTGTCCTCAAGCGTCTTCACATTGGAAGTCCACACGGACAAAAGTGGTCGGGTCTCGTTTCCAAGGTAATGTCGGTCGTCGGTTATAATATTATACACTACTTTGTTGTATTATCATAATATAATGTGTTTACTAACGTTTTGTGTAAAATTTGTATTTCTTTCTTTTCGTGTTAACAATATAATTTGTAAAAACTAAATCTAATTTATTCATTGTCTCGACAAACAGGACGACGTGAGGTGGAAAATAACGTGCGGCAAAACAACGGATCAACAAGAAATGACTGCTTTGGCGTACCAATGCCTTCAAATGAAGACTCCGCACAAAAACCACGGCAGCAAAACGGCCGGGTTCAAACCCAGACAACTGACATTTTAGTTATACTTATATATAGATGTTTATTTTTCATTTTATCCCTTTTGTCTTACCATCCGTGTGTCTAAAAATTAATAACGAGTATTATGCTAGTAGTTATAATGGATAATACTTTTTTTTTTTTATATATTCAATAAGAGTGAGTTTTTTTCTTTTATAATATTCTTATTATCATCTCGTGTTCTTTCTCTGTTTTGGTCTATCCACATAAATATATTGTTATAATTTCTTTTTTATTTTATTTTTATAATTTTAAATGGAATTTCATTTAGTGACCGAAAACAAAAACACTGATTTTTTCTTTGTACCTATAAAAATTCTTTCAACGATGATATTTGAAATGTACATTGATATATACATATATTATGTATAATACATATATATATATATATATGTATATATTTACATAAAAATATTCTAAATTATTAATTTATAATTATTTCTGAATTCTTTTTTTTTTTTTGTGTTTGCTTTTTGTATATAAATTTAATTATTTATATATATTGTAATTTTGCACGTTTGAGAATAATCGTCATTGAGTTTATATTTTTGACTTTCTGGCACTACCATTAACATATAAATTTATTATTTCGATAGTAATGTTTTAGCATTTATATTATATAATTAGATAAACAAGTTTTGTCAAGTTTTGTGTTCTTCGTGTTATCGTACCAAATTTAAATATTCAACTTGTGACAAAAAAAACAACAAAAATATAGTGATTGTAACAAGTATTTTTCACTGCAGTTGTTATTTTTGACATTTTGTTATTTTATTTTTTCAAGACCCTACCCTCCTCTCTCCTTTTAAGCGGAAAGCGAATTTTCTGAAATTGTATAGCGTAAAAAATAAATAAAAAATAAATGTAATTGGAGCACATTCATTTTCAAATTGTGGAATTGTGAAGAAGAGATATTTTTGAAGTTATTCAAGTTTCAAGTCTATCTGCTTACACTTCCCCTCCTCCCGTTCTAACTTTTAAACTATTATAACGATTAGTTGTTCAAAACTGGTTGTCGACCAATCAAAATTGTTAGTACGTTATTCTCACATTAAATAAATAGAACTGGCATGATTGATAAAAAAAAAATGTAGCATAAATTTTAAGTTGTAAATTATTATTTTTTTTTTTTTTGAGGTTTTTAAAACCCCAAGCCTTCTTCATGATATCCGCCAATGTCATACCTGTTTATTTAGTCATGCTGCCAACAATAGTCAACTTCAGTTCAACTACCACTTACTGTTATCTTAACGTTAACGAATGGGGGTGCACAATTTTTCTTACTTATACTTTTGAACGGTAGACCTAACGTACATTGGAGGAAAAATATACAAGTCAAAAAGTGTGCACAAAGTCTGACTTGGACGGACTTTTTTGTAAAAGTTCACAGCTATAAAATTAAATGGAATAAAACTTTTTAGCGCTGGCAAATGTACAAAGCACCAGTACACCGTTATTAGGTGTATGTCTAAGACTAAACAATTAATTTTTTTTTTTTGTAAATGGCATATATCAAATTAATATTTCTATGATTTGTTGTCTTCGTTAAAAGGTCAAGATTATCACGGTTTTTTTAGAGAGCGAAAACGCTATTTATATGTTAGTGAACTTACAATACTAACAATAGTCCTACAAATCTTTCTATTACCGTGTGTATTACATAAAAAAATGACCTAGGTTAATATCGTTTTAACGCGGTTTATTAATTTAGGACTTTTATAATGCATACTTAGCTAGAAACCCGTTTATAATTCACCAATAATGACCAAGTCAAAACAAAGCTTTTAACTTTTTTAACAATACTGTTATTTTTTTTTTTTTCGCTAAATATTGTGTTGTGTTGAAAGTTAAATTTTCATATCTTTACGGCTTGTATATGTAACTCTTTGGAGTAAGTACCAAAATACTGAATTTTGATATTTTTGTTTAAATTTGGGCTTTGATATATCTACCTACTTATTTAGTATTTGTATAATTGGCCAATTAAAAAATTTCAAGTTTGTTAACCCAAAGTTGTCTTGAAAATCTGTAATACTGTTTTTTTTTTAATGTAACATTTTTGTTTAGTTTACAAACTATACGATTAGGAGGATTGGTTTACCAATTAAGAAACTTTAGGAATCTCAGATTAAAATTCAACCTTTCGAAACCAACCTTTTGTCGACTACCTCATCAACATCAAAATTTAATTAACCCACTGATGTAAGCTATAAAAAAAAATTCATCGTAATTAATCTTTTGCAAACTAATTTTATTATTACAAAATTGTATAATAATTGTACGGCCTAAGACGTCGAAGCCGTTAATTACCAATAAAAAATCCTTAAAAGAAGTCAATACTCTTGAGTCTAAGAAACTGAAAACATCATCATTTTCCCAATGTCCTTACCATAATAAATAAAAAAATTATACAAACAAATAACAGGAGGGGGAGGTGTTAATTTTAAAAACTTAAAGAGTGCTCTAAGTACACCTGAGCGCCCTCACCTCCCCAATCTGCGCCTGTGTTGTATAACGGTTTTTAAAAATAGTTTTCAAGCTTTAACTAGGTATATGAATTCGAACGCCTGTCAAATCGACCAAATGGCGTTATTTGCGAAACTGGTTTCTCAGCTATTTAGGTACATAGGAACATCCTTAGCACCCTTAAGCACGTGCTTTAACAGTAATTATCAGCATTATCTATAGTAAAAAAAACATACATGTTAATAATAATTAATATCTAAAGGTCATTTCATGATATATTATTCCAGTAGCAGATTCAAAGTCCTTGGAGGGTTTTTTTTTTTTAAATAATTGTTTCGAGACACTGATGGCATTTAAAATATAATCTACACAATATTTGACCGCTCATAAAGATGATTTTACCTACTTATACATATACTAGTAGTTGTAGTTTGTGAAAATTCTAAACCCAACTTTTAACTCTGAAGACAACCCGCTCGTTTATATTATTGTTGTTGTATGCCGGAAGAATTTTTTCATGCACATAACGTGTACTTTTTTATTAACATATATTATAGAAACGTTCTACCAGATTATTCATTATTAAATTATAAAAACAATAATTGTTTCAGCTGTATGATTATAATAGTTGTGTATGTGGAAAGTAACCTCCAAAACCCGCATGACCTTAAATCATAGCATAGTACATAATATATTTTATACCTACTACTTTAAACACACAAATTTACATTGGGCTGGATTCGATAAAAAAAAAATAATAATAATAAATTACAATAACGCGATAATTAAATCCATATAAACAGTAAAAATAAAAAAAAATACCGATCATAAGTCCTATTTCCTATATGAAATAGGAAGACCGAAATAAGAAGAGGGCTGTAGCTGGTGCAAAGATGGCGTGTGAGATCCTGTCGAGTGGTGTGATTTATAGGGATTATTACTGAATATTTTTAACTATCACAGTTCCTCTACAGCAGAGTTCATTCGAACAAACTCTGTGTTTACACTAGCCATTTAATCAACTTCATCTAGTGTATTAAATATTCTTATAACGTATAAAGCCGTGTACCGAAGTAAAATATTTTCGACAAAAATGTAATAATAATAAAAATAGCATTTTACATTTTCATCGAAACATTTTACATCTTGGTTACACGGCTTTCAAAATATTATGTTACTACTTCAAACAGGACTTACCTAAAAATTACTCTGATTTAAGTTTTAAAAAAAACATTTGAACTTTTCAGGATATTTTCAAGACATCAGATCGTGGCACAATGTAAAAAAAAATGTAATTTATCCTAAAAAAAAGGACTGTGATAATCTTTATAAAAATAAAAAAAAATGCCATTCAATAAATACCCTTATTACTGTATTGATAAGTTTACATTATAGTTCAAACATTTAATTAAAATTTTGGCAAAAAATTGCCTATACTTTACTCCTTAAAATGGGCTGCGCTGACATCCTCATAAGGGATTGCATGCAGTCTGTTTTAAGGAGTTTTGTATAGGCAATATTTAAGAAAAAAGACAGTTTAATAAATTTCGACCATGTCAATTAATTTACCGGTAAACTTGTATAAGATTCAAGGTATTATTTTTAATTTGAATAATTTTTTCTACTAGTGAAAGCCAATTTGGTTTATTTTGGGCCAAAAAGCCAGACAAAATGTCGAGTTCTTACTTCTTTGGCTACTAACTTTAATATATTATGGAGAAAGCTTTGTTTAAAAATTTCAGTTTTTTGTAAATTTAATAAATTAAATTTGCAATTTTATCAATATTAAAACCCATATTTTTTACATTAAAAATGTCGATATTTTTGTTAGGCTTTTTGGTCTATTAAACGTCAAAAAAAAAACCGCATGCAATCATGTTAAGAAAACCTCCCCCAAAAAGAAAAACACAATTTGACGGTATTACATTTCTCGAAGTAGTAATTTTTTGCATACTAAAGGTCAATTTATTTGAATATGTTATTGAGCTGGAAACTAAAAAAAAATTCATGTTGCCAATTTTGCGTTACACTCACTTTCAGTTAGAGATAAGAGACAAGTGATAAGAGATAACATATCCATGGTTCAAATATGTTTTTCGGTGGACCGGTGAAAACGACTAGGTTTGTTTTCATCGATATTTTACATTTCTGACCTGCCATCGAGTACCCGCCGTTTTAGTGTGCATAATATATTAAACGTGCAAAATTCGGCGCATCCTCGATTGATAATATAATATAATGATTTTGGACAAACAAAAAAAAAACGAAATAAATAATAACCGTAATGATACCTACCTATTTAACATGGCGAACGCGTAATCCGAAGGAAGTCCACAACGGCGGTAATGGAGTTGGCGAAAAAATAAAATTAAAAAAAAAACAATATAAACGGGTTTTCCTGGCTGATTTAATGTCGACTGGATTAAGTGGGTCGAGGTCTTTTCACCAAATGATTCATCCGCCCACCCAATTCGTTAACAGGTATACACACACATACACATACTCAATCGTCAACCCGGTGACCTTACCTATACCGCGGTTGAAAGGAAATATTATAACACACACACAATATATATACATATATTATACAGGGTGATCGATTTAACGTAAGGCCCTAAATTATTTAAGTCTGAAATTTTGAACTAGAAGAAAGGGTGGCAAAAGGGCAATTACAATTTTTAGCTAAAGGAGCTGGGAAATCAGATAGGATACACACACCCTTTGAGCAAGGAGGACTTGGAATTATAAATTTAAATTATTAAATTTAATACGGATTACACTTCATAGGGTTTGTCTGCAAAACTAATATAATTTTACAATAAACGTGGATAGGCACCTACTTATTTTGGCAATCGTAGTGAAATGGC